AGTATTAGGAATGTGGCTTCTATACTCAAGAGGGGGGTGAATTGAGTATTGCAAGATTTTCGCAAAAGCCCTCTTTCAGTTTCTAAATAATCATTTCAAGCAAACTTTGATATGTGAAAAGTTAATCAATACATTCAAACAATCTACAACTCACAATTATAGAACTTATTCTAGCACATACAAGATATCAAAGAAGCAATTAAAGTGCTAGAAATAAAGAGTTTAGAGTTTAGAGATATGCAAATACAATATATCCTGGTTCGGTCACCACCACCTGTGACCTGCGTCCAGACTGAAGTTACTCGATCAACTCCTTCACTAATGGTCAAGCTTCACGGGTGCTTGACAAACTTTTACAATCTTTCAGACTTTGGGTTCTTGGATACCTTTCAATCTCCAAGTTTACGGGTACTTTGTAACCTTATAATTCACTCTAAATTTACTTAGGTATTTGGCCACCTCTCAAACAATGGGTCTCACAACCCTTTCAACTCAAGAATACAAGGAGGGAAATATTTGAAAATGAATATACACTCTCAAAGTGTGGATATACAACTTGAAGCACTATGGGTATATGAATTTTCAAGATATGAGCTCAAATATGTTTGATCTTTGAAAGATATGAAAGAATATGCAAGTGATAGTTACAAGCTCTCAAAGTATGTTTAATATGTGTAGGAATGATGCCCAATATTTTTGAGTCATTGTGAATGCATATATAGTGTTTTCATTGAAAACTAGCCGTTGGGAAACTAGCCGTTTATAGCCGTTGGGATCTCATTTGAAAAACTAGTCGTTTTATAATTGTTTATAGCCGTTGGGACCACTTTTGAAAAACTAGCCGTTTTATAGCCGTTGGGATCTGTTGCAATGGTAGTCGATTCCCAACTTGACAGCAAGAACGTTGTTTTGTATTTTGACTATAATTTGAGTTATACTTGTCGGATTGATGTGATCTTGGTCTCTTTGGAAAGATAAAAAAGAGATCTACAATTTTTATGAAGAACATAAGATCCAAATCCATCATATTAGATACGAAAAATTGTATGGAAGGCATCAGCGAAATTAAGCAATAAATTTTAAGCTCAAATGTGTTATAATTTACTTCCAACTACTTTTTGTGAAAGATCTTGAATTGATAAATATGTTTTAAAGTTATAAAATATGTCAAGGATCTTTTTCATGGATTTTTTAAATTTCTTTTAAGTATATAAAAGTTATGATTATGCACTTTGAAAAACACTTTACTTTGAGAAAAACTTTGAGCTCATGCAATGTAATCTATCATATACCCTCACATATATTCTAAGTCCTAAAGATATATTCCAAATATGATTTTAGACTTAGCTTCAAGTTTTGTGTCTTGGATCTTTACCTGAACTTGAGGCTTTGACTTGTTGAATATTTGACACTTTGTTGGTTTTGATCATTTGTCACCATGATTATGATATTAAGCTTCTCTTAGATGTTGTTCATGGTTAGTTGTCTTTGATCTTGATGTTGCTCTTCTAATTATTCCGTGTTGCTCTTGATCCAATGATCTTGCCACTTTAATATGACATCACTCTTCTTGTGTGGCTACATCATACATCTTAAATATCCACATATGGTTGATGCTTTTTGCTCTTGATCAATACTCTTATCTTTTTGTTGTTGCCACTTTGTTATCATCAAAACATACCTTGTATCTACACAAAGTAGATAAGTTATCTACATTGACTGTAGAAAAAGCGAACCCTATATTTTAAAGGTTTTATATTTCTTATGTTACATAAATGAATCTTCTTATGCTATAGAGACAAAAAGTATATGGAACACATATGTTAAAAAAAATCATATGTAAAATCCATGTTAGTACATAAAAAGTATAAAACCCATATTTTAAACATATTAAAACTAACCAATTAAATCACATAATTCAAATATCATATATGCGCCGATTTGTTAAGGTCACATGCCAAGTCTTTTAAAGTTGGTATGTCATCTGATTTAAAAATAGAGGATTTTCCAATAAGTTTAAGAGCATGTTTGACACCTCTCCTTTTTAAGATAAAAATTATTTTTAAATTTAAATTAAAAAAAAGTTTTAAAAATAAAATTACAAATTATCTGATGATTATATAAATTTTTTAGTTTAAAAGTTATTTAAAAACTATTTATTTTAGAAAAAACACATATTTCAAAAAAGCTGAAATATCATAAAAAAAATTTCTCCTAAAAGCTTTTGACTTTTGTATATTTTTTTTCATTATAAAAACTTTTTTATTATAAGAACTGTTATAAAAACTTATTTATCTTTATTTCTAGTTATAAAGAGAAGGTAAACTAAAAAAGAACTCTCAAGGCATTAAGTCTACTTTATTTACTACTCAGGCCAGGGCAAATCAAAGGCAAGTCAATTTAACTGTTTTGTCGTCTATATCCCTGATAATTATGCTATCCATTACATGTAAGGGGTGTTTCACAGAGGATAAAAAAAATTTATCGAAAAAAATAATTTCTAGGAATATGATGAAATTTTTTTTTTTGAATAAATTACTAAAAAATATTTGGTAGGTCAAATTTTTTCGAAAATTTTGGGTTAATTTTATTGATACTATGTGTTAATTTTTCCACCATATTGGAAAAAAATAATTTCACCCCATCAATGGTAATATTCCATAACCATTTTATGAAGAAAAACAAATGATGTGAAAATAATTTTCTCAACCATACTTTTACTTCACCTCCTATCAAATATAGACAAATAATTTTCCCCATTTCATTTTCTTAGGAAATTTTTTTTTCACCTCCTATCAAACACTCCCTAACTTTATTTGGGTTTGACATGTAATTTCGAAATAAATCCTTAATATGGTTTATGGTCTTCCCTAAACTTGTGAAGGGGCGTGATTTTTCTTAGTTCAAACTTTTTTTTACCAAAAAAAAAAGTAATCTATGTTGGCATTTGCTTCAGCCATAAAAAAAGAGAAAAGTGTGTCATTTTAAAGGACGTAAAGTTGTGTCATTTTAAGAGAGAGGAAGAAATAGATAAAAGAAGAGAGAGAGAGTTGACAAAAAAAAAAAAAATAAAGGTGTGAGTCCCACCTCTTTGTGAGAGTGAAAGAATATAAGTTATATTATTTAAAAGGATAAATATTTTTCCCATAAAAAAATGTGATTTCTAATGTCCGAGGCAAGCCGGCAGTGTTGTGTTGGCATAAATTAACAAGCATCACCTTCAGAATGTTTCTTCAATCATGTCCACGGAGAAAAGTAGTGCTGTGCGTGGGTCAGATTTTTGTCCGACTCGACCCAACTTGATTTTTATAGGTTAGGTATTTTGACCCGACCCGCTTTAATTTGATCCAAGTCAAGTCTGACTTGGTTTGAATTTTGTTGAACTAGTTCAGAACTGGATCGGATCTAACCTGACTTGGTTTCTGAAGTGGGTCAAATCTGACCTGACCCTTTTTTTACTTGGTTTCCTCACAAAATTTCGTCAAAATTTCTACATTGCAAATGGCGAGAATTTCGTCACAAAATTATTTTTTCATCGGAATATTTTTTTTCGAAAAGCAACGAAATTTTTTCTCTAATGAAAATTTTTACAAAAATAAATTTTCTTTCGAAAATTAGTTTCCGTCAAAAGTTTTGACGAAAATGATTTCTTCCATCAAATGTTTTAAACGAAAAAAAAATTCTATCAAAAAATTTGACGAAATGTTTTTCGTTCAAAATTTCGATAGGAATGTGTTCTGACGAAAATTTCAACGAAAACTGTTTCGAGAAAAATGTTTCATTCGAAACTTTCGACGAAATTTAGATTCTCTAAAGAATTTTGACATAATATTTTTTCCATCGAAATTTTTTATTACAAAAATGTGTTCCGTAGAAATTTTTGATGGAAATATTTTTTATCAAAAAACTTGACGAAAATATTTAGTTGAAAATTTTTTATGAAAATGTGTTTCGCTAAAAATTTCGACTAAAATTTTTTTTTGTCAAAAAGTTTAACGTCAAATTTTGCCAAAATTTGAAAATCTGTAAAGAATTTTGATGAAATTTTTTTCCGTCAAATTTTTTTGATGGAAATGTGTTTCGTCCAAATTTTCGATGGAAATTGTTTTGAGGGAAATGTCTCATTCGAAACTTTCGACAAAATTTAGATTCTCTAAATAATTTTGACAGAATATTTTTTCCGTCAAAATTTTTATCGAAATATTTTTTGTCAAAAATTTTTATGAAATTATTTTACAGAAATGTGTTCCGTTGAAAATTTTGATGGAAATATTTTTTATCAAAAAACTTGACAAAATATTTAGTCGAAAATTTTCGATAGAAATTTGTTTCGCTAAAAATTTCGACGAAATTTTTTTTTGTCAAAAAGTTTAATGAAAATGTTTCCGTCGAAAACTTTCGCCGAAATTCGAAATCTGTAAAGAATTTTGATGAAATTTTTTTCCGTCAAAAAATTTCGATGGAAATGTGTTTCGTCGAAATTTTTGATGAATATATTTTTTTGTGAAATATTTTAACGAAATTTAGATTCCATAAAAAAATTTGACAAAAAAAAATATTCCGTCAAATTTTTTTATAGAAATGTTTTTAGTCACAAATTTTGATGAAAATATTTTTCGTCAAAAAATTTTGCGAAAATTTTTTATAGAAATATTTTTCGTAAAAAAATTTGTCGTAATTGTTTTATGTTAATACTTTTCTTTTAATGTAATTGTGATTTTTTTTTTCACGTAATGGATATGGGTCAAGCTTTTGGTCAATGGGTCAATATTAAAATCAGTCAGGTCTAAAACTGACCCAAATAAAAGTGAGTCAGTATTTAAACCAGTTCAAAAAATATAGGTATTTATGAGTCGGGTCAAGGGCAGGGCAAATGAACCAGTTTTTTTGCACACCCCTAGTAGGCTATCTCATCAATTATGTGAAAAGCATGAAGTTCTAGATCATAATATTATTTTTCTTATGCTGATTGTTTATTCATAAATAAACCTACTGCTCACTGGGATAAGTTTTATTAAGATTTCTGATCATAGAACATAATCTGCAGGATGGAGTGATTATTACACCTACTATAGCGCAAAGATCATGTCATCTTACACTTTCTAGATAAAAACAATTCACTTTTTCCGCATCCAATTCAGCATCACATAGCAGATTAAATCTCTGCCTTGGCAATTAAAGCCTTAGCTTGTTCAAGTCTAGAGCTCACTGCATCCCAGGAAACAAGCTTGTCCATGAACACTGATATATAATCAGGGCGTCGGTTCTAGGAAGATAAAAAGACAATCATAATTAAGTTAAACTTGCATATTGCACAGAACTTCCAGAGACAATAATTAATTGTATAATGTTTGCAATAACATATTACCTGAAAGTCAAGGTAGTAAGCATGCTGTGTAAAAATGAAAAAATATTACAAAGTCAGCAATTTGTTACTAATGTCTGTTTCAAAGCTTGTGTGTGAAAATTGTTTCATCAAATCACTAACAAAACGTAAATCTGATTAATACCTCCCAAACATCAATGGTAAGGAGTGGCTGCAAGAAATCAAGATGAAAACACATCAGAATTTATCAGGGAAAAGAATCTCATTAGACCTACCTGAGCTATTATTCATGTTTTTAAGACAGAAATAAATAAAGGGCAAATCTCAGTGCACAAGACTCCTCGACTTAAGAGAGTAGGGATGAAGTTCGATTGTATGCAGTTTTATCCTTACATTTTTGCAAAAAAAGAAAAGACTGTTTCCCATATATATTCGAATCCGTGAGACAAGAAATAATGATGAATATTATTACTAGTTCTTCTTACTACTTACATAATAAGCCCCCCAAACAAGGGGGTTCACAGCATTGGGACTCTTGAGCACTACTAGCTTGTTGCCCTCATCCGATGGAGAAGGAGTTACTATATTATCTGTATTTCAATAACAAAGAAAGAAGAAGGAAAAGAAGGGTAAAAACTACTTGATATGATAAGTCAGATTTACCAAGAGATATATCTTAAAATAAAGCTAGAAAATGGGAGTGTGAGGTAGAAAGGGTTATTACTCACATGCAAGCCAAGCCCAACCTGAACCAAATTGTGTTGCAGCAGCAGTCTTAAACTCATCAAGGAATTTTTCAAATGAACCAAAGTCTCTTTCAATCAGTTTTAAAAGATCCCCTGATGGCTTTCCACCACCACCTGGTTTCATGCACTCCCAGAAAAAGTCATGGTTCCAGACCTGCATTAAGTACAAGAAGATTCCTAAGAGACATAGTTTTGAAACTTGAATAAGACTTTCTGGTTACTAGCATGCATGCCTGTGCTGCATTGTTGAAAGCTGGAAGAAGGTCACCCTTATTGTATGATGTAACTATTATGTCTTCTAGTGACTTCCCATCATGCTCTGTCCCAACAATTTGTTTTTTCAGATTTTCCACATAACTTCTGTGGTGCTTCCCCCAATGATATTCAAGTGTCCGCTGACTCATAATTGGCTCCAAAGCATTCTGAAAATTTTCATTAAATGACAATATGAATAAAATGTTGTATCTCTCGTATTATTGTTTATTCAGTTCAGTGCAATTGATATGTATAAAAAAGAATTTAATTGGCTAGTTGTTTTAATTAAACTTTAGAAGGCTTCCTAACATAATGCTTTAAATTAACACAAGCACTGTACAGTAGCGCACCTTTAAATAGTAAAAGTTGAATGAAACTTTTTTTTAACTACTTATTTATGTATCAACAATGCCACATGCTCAATGGGTTACAAGCCTGCCTACTCTCACAAAAACTGAGATGCCTGTGTTGTTGAATTGTTTCATTTTTAAGTTTCTTTACTAAAATAAGACTAACCAAAGTTTTGATAGAATATAAATTTGAAAATGATAAAACAGAGCTAAATCTACTTTCCTCAATGTACAAACTTCAGATCTTACCAGTGGATAAGGTGGCGGCTTCAGCTCAAACTTTGCATTGACTTTTGTACCCTGCAGAGTACTACATGCTTTTAACGAAGATTCATAATCTAATGTACAAATATAATAATATCTTAATGTAAAAGGTTATATTTACTACCTATTTTTTTTACTGCTTCTTACTACTAAATTTTAATCGTTGATTTTCATTAATCTAATGGTTATAATTTATTGGATCTCACTTATTAATTAATTATTAATTTCTAATAAATTATAACCGTTAGATTGACAGAAATCAACGGTTAAGATTTGGTAGTAAGAAAAAAAAAGTAGTAAGTATAACCCCCTATCTTAATATATGTCATACGTGTCAATACTTGTTATTTTGTAAACTCCTCTTTAAAAAAACTTGGGAGCATTTCTATTGACATTTTCCAAAAAAATTCGTAAATAAAATTATGGTAGTAGAACTAGCCATGTATAGATACAACAAAAATAAGTTTAATTTTCAAATTCTATAAGCGGGTTGTCCATGTCCTACCGTGTCTGAGGTGAAAAAAGAAATTGAAATTGAAATTGGACACGTGACGAATGTGTGTCAAAAACATGTTACCAGCATGTTGTTGTATAAGTATATCAATTGAATAAATCATTCTTCCCCCCACCATCCATATTTAATATATCAAAATTTCAATATATTATGAAATTAGTTGTGTTATAGGTTAATTTCCACTACTGAATGCCTAGATCTGGAAGTGGATATTGCTTTTAATTGATTATTGGATTTCAAGTATTCTTTCTACATAATAATTATACAAAGCAATACATATGAAGCCGATGGCTGATAACATTTGATTTTGGCACGAAACTCTCTTCCTACTGCCTCCCACGGTAATCTACTATTATATGCTCCTACCATTTGACTTCCATTTGACTTTGCATTAGTTCTATCATGATTAATATGCCCAATTTGTGCAAAATCACGCAGAACAATAAGGTTTTCTACCTTCTACATATTGATGAGCTCGGTGAATAGAACACTATTACTAAACTATGCCAATTTTATTATACAAAACCCAGTTTCCTGGCAGTGAGAAAAATTGATATAGCTATATGAAAGCAAACCTCTTTGTTAACCAAGTTGAAGCCACCACCAGAAGAACCCACGTTTGGTAACCCTGCTCAACCAACAAGAAATCAAGATCAACAAAAGAGAGAGGCACAACAGTGGATAGAGAGAGTTTGTGTGTAAAGTACCACTCAATGATGCCATGTCTTTTGGTTTATGCAAATATGCGCAGCGTGTGCCTAGAACGAGGTTTGAGGACAGAGGTCAACCTCTTCCTTGCAGGACCAATTTAAACATGTACCAGCACTTCTTTGTGAGAGTAGTACAATTCCTATGTGGCAGTACTACAAGACTTGCATGTACTAGCACTACAGTCTCACAGTACTATTATTATAAGTTAAATGGCATTATTATCTATTCCAATTATTATTATCTTTTAACATAATGATAGCCCAATTACAACTAGCCCAGATCAACTAACCCGACGAGGGAGGTCATGGCTGTGATTCTTTAGGGATGTTTGATAGAGGAGATATTTTTTTTTACTAGATAAATGCAATTACTAGTAATATAGTAGTAAAATGAGTTTGGTAGAAAAGTTAAAAAAAAATTGTTTGATTGGTCAAAATTTTATCAGTAAAATTGGATTAAATTTTGTGAGTCTTTATTTGGTTGAAGGTGAAATAATAATGGAAAAGTGTGTTGATATATCGAAAATAACCCTTGATATTTCAGAAATGTAGACATGTGTATTTAGGAGAGGGTAATATGGTAACACTCTTCATTCACTTTTTTGCAATTTAGCTGATTTTCTAGGAATACCACATTCAAAATGGTAAAGTTCTACCATGATCTGCTTTTGGTTTTGCACATATTTGGCAAAGGATGGGGAAAAGAGAAGCATAACTAAATTTTTTTAATCTTTCTACCAAACAAAGCAATCATGAAATACCAATTCAAGATAGATGGAAACCAAATGAAAAGCTTGAACCAAACGCCTTCAATATATATTATGTGGTTGAGGCAAATCAGGGTTTTAGGGGTTGAAATAAACCCATCATTATCAAATAGGAATATTCTCAAATGGTAAAGAATTTTTGGGTTTTGTTTGTGTATAACTTATGTTGTTGAGTATGTTGGGTTTTTTTTTAAATTATTTAGTCATTAATTTATTTGTTTTGTTTTAGCTCTGAAACTAGTGCATTACTCGTGCCATGTACAGAGGAAAAAGATTATTTTTTTTGTCGGCGACCGTCGTTAATTAATCTCTAAAAGAAAGAACGTGTCACTATTTTTCCCTCTCTCTCTCTATATATATATATATATATATTAGTATATTACCTGTGTGATGCACGAGGGAAATATTTATGTTTAAATTTTTTTTTTTAAAGTACTTGTATGATTTTTTTTTCTCTTTTGTATTGTATTTTTACAGAAAAATATTTCTGCAATTAATTCAGATAAGTTATCTGCATTTACTTCCAAATTGACGTCATTTTAGAATTGAAAAATTAAAAAATTATAATTATAAAGACTATAATAACTCTGAAATAAATTAAAATTACAAAAACACCATGATTTCCTCCCCAAAATGACGTCGTATTGGGCTTACTGCGGATAACTTATCTGCATTAACCGCAGAAAAAGAGAACCCATATTTTTATGTTAAAATTTTAATTTATTTACTTTAAAAGTATAAAAATTTCATTTCTTATTATTTTACAATTAAATTTCAAATTTAAATTATTTTTTATCAGCTCTACATATTTTTTATATTTTTAAATATTTTTTATTTATTCTATAATTTTATATTAAATTTAAATTTATTATTTATATAAATATTTTTTCTCACTACAGAAATATTAAATGATGAACTATTTTCTTACCTATCAAGTTAAAATTCAAATTTAAAAAGTTTGAGTTTAAAATATTAAATATTTTTCCATCCAATAGACATAATAATAAACATCGTTAATAGGCTTAAAAAAAATTCTTGCAAAAAATAGTGGAAAACATTAAAATAGTTTGTGAAATACTTAATGACAAACATCTTTTTCGACGCAGGAGTTGGATGGTCACTGGTCACTGAATGGTCTTTTATTTTTATAGTATTTTAAATTTTTATAATTTTTTTTTTTACAGAATGATAGATGTCATTTTTTTATTTTAATAAAAAAATTTGAATTCTTTTATATTGATTATACATATTTTTTGCAAAATTAATTTTTATCTTTTAATTTATAATTTTTATATTAGTTATACACAAATATTTAAAACGTTTACGTTAAATATTTTTTATAAAAATACTTCTACGAAGTTATTTTTTAAACAATTAGAATTTAAAAATTAGAAGTTATTTTTTAAATATTTTAGAAAATATCAAAGCTATTTTTTGTAGGGTTTAGTTTTTATGAAAAATTATTTAATTATTATAAGCTTCTAAACATATTTTTTTGATTAAATAACACGTTTTCTAAAGCCTAATGTTCAATGGGTTGGAAACATGTAATCATAATAGCATTAAAATAATATTTCGGTAAAATTTATTTTTTAAAGCTTCTAGCAAAATGATGTTTGGTTTGTTTTTGCAGTAGCGAAATTAATTAATCCTAATAGGTATAATAATTAAGCCTAATAGACACAATAATAAATATTATTAATATACTTAAAAATTTCTCATGAGGAAAGTAGTGGACAATATTGAATGCTGAACTTTTTTCCCAGTTACCAAGTTCAAAATTCAGATGTAAAAAATTTGAATTTTAAATATTAAATATTTTCTCATCCAATAGACATAATAATAAATATTATAAATAGGTTTAACAATTTTGCATAAAAAAAATAGTGGGAAACATGCATAGAAGACTGCGCACATTCTCCAAGTAATAACTTGATAGGCTTGGTCATGCCAAACGCGTCATTGCTATTAAAATATAAACCTATAAACACACAAATAATGGGTAAGACTATGTAGAAGAACAACTTGAGAAGATAAATAAGATAAACAGATAAAAACAGAATAAACACATGCACAGAAAATGGATTACCAATGAAAAATATGCAGTAACCTATATCCTAATTATACACAAACTAATGAGGTTTTTTGAACTTATTTTTTATATTAAAATAATCTTTGATTCATTTGTAGACCGAAAAAATTAATTAATCCTAATAGACATAATAATAAATACTATTAATAGGCTCAACAATTTTTTATGCTGAAATTAATGGTATTATTAATAGGCTTAATAATTATCAATACAAAAAATAGTGGGATATTAATACAGCTATTTGCAACTAAACAATGTTAAACTCTTTTCGGTTTTCCCACCTATATTATATTTAAAATTCAAATTTTGAAAAAATAGTGGGATATTAATGCAGATGTTTACTATCAATTAATGTTGAACTCTTTTTCCACTTATATAAAGTTTATATTTCTAATTTTTAAAAAGTTACCAAAAGAGTAATAAACTTATTTGTTGCTGGCGTGGCTTATAATATGTTGATAGTCCTCTCAATACAATAATTTTTTAATTTTTCAGAACCTTTTAACGTAATTGTGGTCGTAGTAATGAAACATGTACCACGTAGCATGGGATCGCGATCTTATTCATCAAGTCACATGGTTTTAGTCGTTATATTAGTTTTATTATTATATGACCAAGTTTGGTTATTTATATCATTATACCTCAGTGTGGGTGTTTTTTTTTGAGAGAAAGGTGGGCATGACAACCATTCTATTTCCTGGTACTGTTTCTGAAAAGAAACAATTCTTTTCTATTCCTGTGCCTTGGAACAGTTTCTGAGAAAAAAAATGTGTTTGATAACATGTTCTATTTTTATTCGGAGAATGAGAATTGCGTTTGATAACATAACAAATAATATTCTAAAATATAATTCCTATTAAGCATAAAAAAAATTTGGAGTACACTTTCCTTTCCATATGGTGTGGCGGTGGCGGCAGCGGTAGTGGTGGCGATGGTGGTGGTAATGGCATGATGGTGGTGGTGACGGAAGTGGGTGCAACGATAGCGGCGGTGGTATTGGTGGCGGTGGTGACAACAGTGGTTGCGACGACGATGGCGGTTGTTGGTGGCGATGGTGGCGGTGGCGATGGTGGTGACGGTAGTGGCTGTGACAATGGTGGTGGTGACAACAATGACTGTGACGACGGTGGTGGTAGTTGGTCGTGGTGATGGCGGTGGCGGTGGTGGCGGCAATGGTGGTGGTGGTGGTGACAACTTTGGCTACAACGATGGTGGCGGTGGCATGCTGGTGGTAGTGATGGCAGTGGATGCGGCAATAGTGGTGGCGACGGTGGTGGTAGTGGTGGCGATGATGGTTATAATGACATGGTGGTAGTGGTGACAGCAGTGGCTGCGATGATGGTGGCATCGTGGTGATGGTGACAGCAGTGACTGCGACGATGGTGGTGGTGGTGGCGGTGGTACTGGTGGCGATGGTGATGGTGGTGATGGCAGTGGTTGGAACGATGGTAGTGGTAGTAATGGCATGGTGGTGGTGGTGGTGACAGCAATGGCGACGGCGACGGTGGTAGTAGTTGGTCGCGGTGGTAGCGATGATGGTGATGGCGGCGACAGCGGTAATGGTGACGATGGTGGTGGTGGTGAAAACTGTGGTTGCGACGATGGTGGTGGTCGAGTAGGCAGTGACTGTGGCAATGGTGGTGGCGACGGTGGTTGTAATGACATAGTGGTGGTGGTGACGGCAGTGGCTGCGACCATAATGGTGGCATGGTGGTGGTGGTGGTGGTGATGACGGCACTGGTGGTACAACGACAATGGCGAAAATGGTAGTGGTGGTCGTGTCGAGATGATGGTGGTGGTGGTGGTGGTGATGATGATAGTGGTGGAGAGTGATTGAGAGAGATAAATGTTTCTCATTTTGTGCCCGGGAATAAAAAAGCAGAAATTTTTTTATTCTTTTTTTTGTTCCTCAGCACAAAAATTAAATCGGTTCATCTCGGAAACAAAAAAAATAAACTGGTTTTACCAAACAAGTTTCCTATTCATTTCTATTCCAAGGAATAGGAATTGAAAAAGAACTAATTTTAGGAAAGTTGTCATGCACACCCAAAGAGTCATGAATAAGAATGTAATTGGTGTTATCCCAAAGAAGAAGAAAAATGTAATTGGTTATCTACTAAATATTAGTATATTAGAATTTATCCTAATTTAATCATTTATTAATGAATACTTAATTTTTTAGTGAATACGTTCAATTATTTAAAAATAGAAATATTAAACGGTTTTTGAGTTCCAAATTTGATAAATGCTTCTTTTTTTTCTAAATCTGTACTTTAAGGAATTTCGTTAATAATTTAATTAATCCAAAGTTTTATACTTTTCTGTTCTAAGTTTGATAGGTTATGTGGCGTGGATGATATTTACTGTTGTTTTTAAAAAGCACTGTTTTTTTAATGCTATAAGATTTTATTTTATTTTTGGGAAAATCATACCCTTATAACTTCACTTCATTTCAATGTAACCACATCAATAGCACTTTAGATATATGAATTTGATATTGTTAATCAAGACAATTACAATGTGAAGTTGAAATAATTATTACTTACTAGGTACAGAAAATAAGAACTCTAAACATAACACAATGACGAAACACTGTTTAACAAAATGTCAAATTCATATATGAGATACAATCGTGAAATTTCTCCATCAGTTACACATTCCCTTTCAGCAGCAAAGCGCATCCATGTACAACACGAAGACTTAAAACTTCAAGAGCTCATGTATTTTTTGTAGTGGGGACAAAAGAAGACATAAAACCATCTTCATCAGCGTCATTGCAATTCACCGAAGGTGGTAACAAAGACAAAGAAATAAGCAACAATTTCGCATTCATTGCAGATTCAACTATAAACACACTGGATTCATATTCAAAACGTATATGTTCTTCAAGATATTGTTCCAAAAGATAACCCTATAGAACAATGTAATAAAAAATATGTCATCAGAAATTTAATAACACCATGAAACCTCAATGTAACACCACGAAAACTCAATAATGTAACACACAAATAATTTCATAAACCCTATTGAATTGATGCAAGCATAAATAAATTGAACCCTTCACAGCAGAGCAACATAATCTCCCTCGAACAGCATGAAAGATGCTGAATATGTAAATAACCATTCACGGTAGCATAAAACCTTTCGCCCTATAAAATGAATAAATGAGAATTAGTATACAAAAATGAAAACGAATTCACAACGTTTGTCAGTAAAGAAACCAAAAATGATACCAATAGAACAACTCCTACACACACAAACGAAGAAAAAACAAACGCAGGCAAGCCAAAAAATAAGAAGAAGTAACACTTCCCAATTTATACAAAAACTCAATGCGTTATTTGAGAAACACCATTCAATGTAATAAAGGTCTTTCTTGAACACAGCGAAATGAATAGGCCCAACATTTTCCAAGGCAGAAGGTAGTGAGATTTTGTTGTATTCAAAAATTGAACTGCAATAAAAGCTGCACTATTTTCACAAAAATAAATTAATCACAATTTTAATTTAAATCAATTTAAAATGTTTCTAAAAGAAGGAAAAATTAATTTTAAGTAGTGTGAACCACAAAGAGAAGAATGCATGAGAAAGTGACACGTCATCAAATTTGTCAACAAATGGTTTTATTTTAGAATATATATATATATATATAGGGGCAGGATATTCTTATACCGGTGTAAGAGTGAGAAATCTTACAATCAATCTTAATCATTGATCCACTTGTATCCAATGGCTCACATTATTAAAAAAAATTAGAGTTCTTAGATATAAATGGGATCAAAGGACAAGATTAAGAGTGTAACTTACACTGGTGTAAAATGATCCTGACTCATATATATATATATATATATATATATATATATATATATATATATATATATATATGTTTCAAACGTGGGAGTTCAGTTCAGCTGTGAATATAATTTGATTTATTTCTACTGTTGAGTAATTGGTGCAAATGTTGATAGTTCATAAATAACACTATTGATAGACCTCTGCTTTATTAAATGAAAGGGCAGGGTTAAATCAGATACTATGTGACAAAATATACAACAAATATTTGAAAAAATAATCAATTCAACCCAAAAGTTTAAGCAGTTAGGTGAAATTACATTTATACTTCTCTAATACGCCCCTTTTCACACGAGAGCCAATTAAAATTGAAAAGTGAACAATATACGTGCCCATTTACCTGTGCTAAAAAATCACATGAGACTTAATTAATTATTAACTAAATGGGGCGGTGAGGATCGAACTCGTGATACGGAAGCTTTGATACCATGTAAAGATTTAATTCAACCCAAAAATTTAAGTTGTTGCGGCATATAGTGTTATTTAATGGCTTTGTAATACACAAGAAGTGGATGAGTGTAAATTTGTACAACTATCATTACTCAAAAAGAAATTGTGAGCTTTTTCAAAACATTTTTATTTCAAAAAAAAAAATGTTCTTGCAATCTGATAGGCTAAAACATTTGAAAACACCTTTGTCAAAAGTTGTCTTTAGTGAAGTTTGATTTCTGAATATGTGTCACAGGTTTAAATTGAGAGCAACCCTACCTCAACTCAAAGGCAGAGTATACACGTATTCAAATCTTTGACAAAACATTTTTCATGAGGAACCATTATGGCAAGGTTGTTACACATAAACAATATGAATGTGCCTTTCATTTAATTGTGTTCAACAATCATGTACAATGTATGTTGTATATGAGTCTTCCAAATCAAGCAAAAGTATACCCTTTTTTTTTTCAATTAATATCTCAAAATAATACACCCAAAACATGAATTTCTAGCTGTTTTTGCAGTTGCAGTCCTTGGATGCTCAATTCTGCAGCATCCCATAAACAGTGACCATAAGAACAATATAAACTAACTGAAGTGCATCCCTTGCACAATTCACAACTCCCTTTGAAACATGTGTGTTCTTCTTTGACGAAGGAGACTGTGCAAGTGTAGTAGTCCTTTGATTCGGTCCAGCCGCAGATGCAGGAGCCAGAGTTGGTGAAAGTGATTTATCATCTTCTACATGAACATGAAGCTTCATCCCTCCAAGACAATACAACTTGTTTCCACATACAAAATACCTGTCCCCAGCTTTTGTCAATGGCACTGTTGTGTTCCCATTTACATAATTTGTCAAAGGATTGGTTGTGTTGCATGTGTTAAAATCTTCTCTTGTAACCTCATCTAAACCGTTGGCTGATGAATATAGGAAAACTGAAAAATCAAAAAAATTCTCAAACACTTCTCTAACAACGTAAGAAGGTCCAATATTCTAATGAAAAAAGAGAATAAAACATACAACTTTTAAATGTTAATAAATTTGGCCTGTGCATGAATTTTGTTCTCTAAATACTTAAAATTATAATACTAGATATTTGAACTTTCAATTTTTTTATTGAATTTCAGCCCCTCAGAATTGATGACCAATGCAGTGTAAATGCCAATATAAAAACATAATACATTTAAGATATTACTTTAATAGAATTGAAACGTGAATAAAAACAACATGAAAATATGATTTCACTGGCTATAAAAGAAACATTAAGTACTTACGAAGAGCATCTCCTACTTTGAACTTCTTATCTGCAACCCATGTATCAAGGTTAGTACTAATGTCCCAGCCAGAGCTATCACCAACAGTATAGGTTGTGGCTGAGCATGTGATTACTGCAAAAGCAAAGAGAAGAGAATAAACTAGGAGCACCTTTTCCATGTTGATGCTAGAGTTAAATGAAATGAGAACTAATTAACGAGTTGGGGCACCAATGGGTCCATCTTAAATATTTGAAGTTTGCTCTTTATCAGATGACCTAACATCCAAAAGGAATACATTAAATAGAAAAAAGAAATAATCTTTTTTTTTTTTCCGAAAGAAAAAATAAATGATAGTTTGATACAATATTAGAACGTTGAAATGTGCATTTTATTTGGTTGGTGGAGTGAGAAGGGGTTAGGTTAGCTGGGCAGTGGTTAAACCGTATTGAACTGCCAATAAGCCTTTAGGTTTGACTTTAAATTTATTCTAGGCGTGCAATATTATTCTTCCATATTCTATCATAAAGCTAAGCCACTATACAAACTGGTTATGTTTTTTCCCCTTACCCATTTTAATTAACATTAGTGTCTTAATAACTATCACTACCTTTTTTCTAATTTTGAATATTATTGAATATACTATTATGTATATTATTATATAAATGTAAGATATATATATATATATATATATATATATATATATATATAAACATGAATATAATAATAAATAAAAATAATATGTGTTTTTTTGTTAAAATAAATAATTTTTAAGTGAATTATCAATTAATATATAACAAAATGTCAATAGATGTTTAAAAATAATTGTAATTGGGGAGTAAGACTTGCTTTTAATTTTATCATTTTTTCTATTTATATATAAATTTTTAAATGAACAATAAGATATATTTACGAATGTTTATTTTTATATTTATTATTAAATTTTTAAATGATGAATTAAATGTTAAAATACAAAAATACAAAAATTAGGAATCTCATATTACCATTCAAATAATAGTATGGAACTTGAAAAATGTTCAAAAATAGCTTTAATTACTATTTTATCTTGTTTATGTTTCTTTGAACCTTTAAATTTAAAAATGAATGATGAATATATTATGTAAGTTTTAAAAAATAATAAAAATATTTTTTTAAAAAGCACTAATTTGTAAATGTAGAGTAATAAGTATTTATTTACCGAAAAAAAGAGAGTAATAAGTATTTATAAAAAACATTATTTACTTATTCTCGAATTTTTACATGAAGGTGTTTAAAATTTTAGAATGAATTTGAATACAAAAGGTTTTAAAAATATTATAGGTTTGGTATTTTAATTGAAAATATATGAATAACGTTTATCCTATCCGAATGTATATTTGTGATTGAGAAAATTTACTTAGAAATTGAATTTTAAAATAATATAATTAAATACCAACTGTCGATTTTCCTTATTGTGTGCTGCTTATAAAGTAATTCTCATACTATTTGTATCTTTTTCCTTTAAATTTACTGAAACAATTTTATTGAATTGAATATAGCCCAAAATTTAAAATGTGGAAAATGAGGTGTAAAAGTGATTTATGTGGAAAAGTGGAAATTGCATTCGGACATTGCCCCATTTTAATGGCGATAATTATCTCTTTTTAAAGTGGCGGGCTATGTAGTTGGACTAATCTTCCCGGTTCTTCGGCATTGGACCTAGGCCCACTGGACCTGGCCCAGATAAAATTTCATTCTTGTAATTAAGAATGCTATTACTTTTTCTATAATGTGATTTTTCTACTACTTTTTTTATTAACTAAATCTAAACGTTTATTCATATTCTATATGGGATGTTTAATTTCCTTCTTTCTAAATATGAAAATGAATTCTAAATCTTTTTTGACAGTTGAAAAATTAATTTATTCTTATCAAAATCTTATTTTCAACTTATAACAAATTAATAATATTTATGTATAGTTACACACTCACAATAGTTTGTGGGTTTTATTAATATCATGTCAAAGGAGATAAGTTATCTCATGTCATAGGGACAAATTTGTTAGCTCCACCACTTGAAAAAAAAAAGAAAAAGATGGCACAATTATTGAAGGATGTGTAGAAGGAAAAACATATCTCATATAACATGAGAATATTTGTTGTATATTTTTACAACCATTTATTAACTCTCTTCTTTACCTGAAACATGAACATGGCTACAAACTAAAACAGTTTTCTTAAATTGTATGAAGATAATTCAGACTCATCAGTCATCGCTTCATAAAATGATTAAGAGTACGAAAGAACTTAAATTTTCTTTAATCATAATTTAGGAAATAGTTAAAAATTAAAGCAATTAAAAAATATTACATCTTTAGTAGTTTCAATACCTTCTAATAACACAATCAAGTAGGATACCAAAAAAAAAAAAATAACACAATAAAGTAACTAACTTTTGTTACCAAAAAAAAAAAAAAAAGTAACTAACTTTAGCCTTCCCATCTCTTTTTTTTTTTTTTTTCGTGTTGTAAATATTCGAAATCTTAGGACACCTACCACATATTAAACGTTATACATTTAAACATTATTGACTAAAAGTTCTTTAGAGTTATGGAATCTTTTTCAGCTCCAAGTTCTTTTGTGGATATGTCTTCTGGACTCACCACAATAGGTAAGAAGCCCGCTTGAGTACCGTCACTATCATTTTCAATTTCTCCTTCAATGCTCAATCCTTCAATTCTTGCTGCCATAGGATCTCCTATAATCCCCACATCTATTAAAAAAAAAAAAAAAAAAACTCAGTCAAAGAATTCAAATGAAGAAAACAAAGTACACCACCCCTGATTTTCTTAAATAAAACATAATTAAATAAATTATATGTTAGAGAGATATAAAATCATTAATGTAACATCATTAAGTTGTCACGAGTTCGACCCCTACCGCCCTCCATTTTGTAGTGAAATTAAGTAAGCAAAAAAAAAAAACTATAATATAAAATCTAACTAGGGACAAGTTTTATTCTTTTATATATATATATATATATATATATATATATATATATATATATATATATATATATATATATATATATAAATAAGTATTATGATTGTGACATATAATATCCAAGAGTTTAGAATATGATCAAAAATCAAGGAGAACTGAGCTTAGAAATCATACAATATTCGAAGAATGCATGATTAACCTGGATTTGAAAAGAGCCAAAGAATGAAGGCACAAACAATGAGAACGAAAGGGATAACATGCACAGCAGTCTCAGCGAATTTAACACGTGCCCTCTCCTTCTTAGCCAACTCAGCAATGGGGTCATACGTAGGCAAAGTGTTACCATCGAACATAGAATAAGATGATCTATGCCCTGGTGATGTTGAACTCGTTACATGTTTGAAGTAATCATCAGAGAACTTGTTCCAGCTTGCAGACCTATGCATCTTAGTTTCGAAGTTGAGCAAAATTGGATGTTAATTTAATTTAATTGGAAGAGAAAAATGTTATAAAGCATGAGAAAGCTATAAGGTCATAAAATGTTGTGCATAAAAACAAATGCACAATCAAAACTAACTCAAAAAATAAAAATGAAAAGAAAGAAAGAAAGAAAAGTCTCCACGAGAATGAAGCCGCTATCATTGAGTTCGGCAATCTTTGCTCTCGCTTCCCCTCATACCCCCTCTTACCGATTCAAGACAATTAAGATTGACATTATAATCATAGTTATATAGATAGACTAAGTAATTGAATTATTAATAAAATATGTAAGAATTTTTAACTTTATAACCCTATAAGTTGATCTTACATTTTCTTATTTTAATATAATTATGTGCCAATCTTTTCAAAAGATTCACTAAATCAAAGTACATTTATCTTTTATTATGCGTTTTTGGTTTAATTTATTTGGTGTTAACAAATTAAATTTCTTTCCAAAATCAATCAAAATTTAATTTATTATTGGTCTTTTGGAGGTTTAAAATAATTTGTATTCTAGCTAATATATGAATTTTAGTATAAAATATAGTTTTCATTAGTAAAATAATTATATCATTTAACTAATTAACCACTAAAGCTATGGATGCTTGGATACCAAAAAAAAAAAAAAAAAAAGCTATGGATGCTTGAAAAAGGTATCATTAATTAGGTTATTGCGAGACAGGGGTGTGATTTTGGTTAGGGCAGTGTTGACTTGGGTTGGGCTGGTTTTCTTAGCCCTGCCCATAGTAGATTAAACTACATGATAGTTAACTTGCAGTGGGTCAAGAATAATTCAAATTAACAAATTATTATTAGTTTAGTTCGGCCTTATACCAATTATTAAGACCATGGGCTTATCTACCAAAAAAAAAAAAAAAAGAGGCCGTTGGCTTTCTCTTTACATGTTTATATAATTAAAATAAAAAAAAATTAATTTTAAATCATTTATCTAGTTAGCTTATATTAAAAAATTTAAATTGATTCACATTAAGAAAATATTATTTATTTGTTACTTAAAACAAATAAATGATTATTATATAATTTAATTTAATTAATTTCAAAAATGAAAAATATTTACTATAATATTTATTATGACCTTTTTTTGGGCAACGATGTTAAGGACGAACTAGTCCAGCTCGACCCATTACAAACAGACTTATATCTAGTCAAGTCCAATTGAATTACTTCAAAGTCAAACTAAAATATTTGTTTGCAGATCAAAGTTTGTAGAGGTGGGTCATCTTTATCCCATCTTATATTCGCAGACGATATCATCATTTTTTCATAAGCCTCAATTGAGCAAGCTCGCTTGGTAACAGATTGCCTAAACCAGTTCTGTAGAATGTCATGTCAGAGTATCAGTATTCCAAAATCTATTATTTTCTTTTCTCCTAACACGAGAGAAGGGGTAACTGTTTCCATTACTCCATTGACGGAATACAGACAGGTGACTAGTATTGGTCGTTACTTGGGTTCTTTTCTAAAACAAGGTCGTGACTCTAAAAGCAACTATTCTGCAATCATGGATCGTGTGAGGAGAAAGCTCGATGGCTGGAAAAATCAGAGTTTGTCTTTTGCAGGTAGGGTGACTCTTGCTAAATCAGTAATTAGTGTTATCCCATCTTCTCATATGCAAAATTGGCTTCTTCCCTGCACTTTATGTGATGAAATTGAACAATTTCAGCGTTCTTTTATTTGGGGTAACAACAATGCTCATTTGGTTTCTTGGGACACTATGTACAAGCCTAAGGATTTTGGTGGCCTAGGGATCATTAACCTTAGAGCCCAAAATGAAGCTTATCTTCACAAAATGGCATGGAAAATTCTTAATGGCCAAGGTGAACTCTGGGTGAGGGTCTTGAAAGCTAAATATGGTAAAGGTCAAGATTTAAGAAGGGGTGTTATTTCCAAGTCTTATGATTCCAAATTATGGCGTGATCTTAGTAAGTGTTGGAATTGTTTCCTTTCAGGTATTCGTTGGGGAAATTGGTGATGGTAATAACATCAGATTTTGGCTTGATAATTGGCTGGGATTGGAGATGAACCTTTGTTCTTTAGGTCAAGCTCTGATTTCAGATTTTGATTTGCAGAAAAATATTGCTCAAGCGACTCCTCAAGGGGTTTGGGATATTTTTCATATTCAAGAGTTCCTAAATGATGATATAGTTTCTAGTGTTGCGGGCTATCCCATTCAGTTAGCAGAAAATGTTGATGACAGATTGGTCTGTTGAATAACCACACTGTTACTTCGTTGGTTAAGGTGGCTTATAGAAATCTGATGAAAATTTTCTGATCCCCATGACAACATCCCTTGGAGAAAGATATGGACTTGGAAAGGTCCCGAGAGAATAAAAACCATGATGTGGTTAGCTTTTCTAAATAAACAACCGATGAGAGGTAGAACTTGCAAATGGAATGGAGGTCCAAACTCGTGTATTAGCTACCCCAATAGCGAGGAGACCCTTCTTCATTTCTTTGAGATTGCATTCATGCTCAAAGCATTTGGAAAGACTGGTTTTATAACTGGGTGCCTAGCGATTTTTTTAATTTGAATATCAAGGATTGGCTCAAAGGGAATGTGAGTAATCTTTGAAACAGGTATGATCATTTAGACAAATGAGACATTTTCCCCCTACGTGCTGGTACTTGTGGACATGGCGCAATCAACACATCCATGATGATAGCTTTCGAAGGTCGCATAAAGGCAAGCATGTTACATCTGATTTTATCTCTCTCATGTTTTCAGTTAGGGACAAGCACAAGAGCATTATTGGACACTCCCCTAGTATTCTTTATCCTAGCGAGTGGTCTCCGCCAAGTCCAGGTTTGTTAAAAATCAATACTGATGATACATCTTCTGCTATTAGAAAGCGTGCTAGTTGTGGTGGTCTCATGACGGATCATAATGGAGTTTTCTAGGTGGCTTCGATTTTCACATTGGTTTTTAATCCCCTAGATGCATAACTTTGAGGAATCCTTAAAGGGTTGGAGATGACTTTGGGTACCAGTGCTAGAAGAATTGAATTAGAATGCGGTGCGGTGAATGCTCTCTCGTTGATTCATGGTAGTCATGACAACCCCATAAATTCCCAGGTTGTGTCCTACATTCAAAAATGGCTTTTAGAGGACTGGATTATGAAGTGTTCTCATATAAATAGAGAGAACAATAGCTATGCTCACTGGCTCGCTTCTCATCCTCACGATGAGCTTAGCAACTTTAATATTTTCTATAGTCCCCCACCACAGCTTGCTGATCTTCTGCAACAAGATATGTCCAACAGGCTTTCTTTAGTTGTAGTTTCTTAGTTCTGTTCTGTTCTGGGGTTTTGCCCCTTCTGTATTAAAAAAATATTTGTTTCTATACGTATATATATGTATATAGATAGATAGATAGATAGATAGATAGATAGATAGAGATGATCATTTGACATGATGTCAAACAAAAAGTTTAACACCACATTTGAGAGCGTTGATCTTTCCTTGATCTAACGACCTGATTTGTAAGCATGTGATATTTGATCTGCCTTGTATGTTATTTGAACAAAATGACAATCTTGTCCACATCTATTAAGTTATTTTGCTTTAATGAAATTATTATAATTTAATACATATATAATTATTTATTTTAAATGCACAAACACTTTTCTCATTGTGATTTGTTATTTTAACCCAAATTTATTATGGATAGACTATTACCTAAATCGTATTGATTTTGTGGCTTTATATACTCGAGTTATCTAGTTTCATTTGTCATTTTTATTCTCCTCTGCGTCGCTACTTACAAACCCTAGTCGTCGAGATATACAAATCAAATCTATAGAAGATTATCAGAGATCGAATCATATCCGGTAATTCTTAATTTTCTTTTAGATATTGAAATTTTGTTTATCTTTATATCTCCAATTATATCAATACACATATAATTATATATTTTAAAGCACACAATGTCTCATTATGATTGAAGTTTTAATGAAACCTTTCTTATGGAAAAAATAATTATCTTTTAATGATATTGATTTTAAAGTTTTATGTATACTCACATTCTCTACTCTTATTTATTTTTATCATTTTGTTCTGCATCGTCGCTTACAAATAATTATAAAATAAAATTTAATTAATTTTCAAAATGGAAATTATAAATATAATATTTATTATGATATTTTTTGGGCAACTTAATGTTAGGGAAAAAATGGGCCAGCTCGACTCATTACCAATAGACCTGTATCTAGTCAGGTCAAATTGGACGACTCCAAAGTCAAACTAAAATATTTATTTTCTATATATATTGGACGACTCAAAAGTCAATTGGATAGGATCATTTGACACATGTGTCAAATAAAAAATTTAACACCACATCTAAAAGTTTCCGATCTTACGTTGATCTAACGACTTTGATTTATAAGAATGTGACATTTGATTTGCCTTATACATTATTTGAACAAAATGACAATCTTGTCCACATCTATTAAGTTATTTCTCTTTAATGAAATTAGTATACTTTAATACATATATAATTGTTTATTTTAAATGCACAAACATTTGTCTCATCGTTATTTGTTATTTTAACCCAATCTTATTATGGAAAAACTATTACCTAGATTGTGTCGATTTTATGGCTTTATATACTCGAGTTCTTTAGTTTCACTTGTCTTTTTCATTCTCCTCTGCGCCGCTTCTTACAAACCCTAGTTGTCGAGATATACAAATCAAATCTATAGAAGATTGTCAGAGATCAAATCATATCCGGTAATTCTTAATTTTCTTTTAGAGATTGGAATTTTTGTATCTTTGTATCTCCAATTATATCAATGCATATATAATTATTTATTTTAAAACACACAATGTCTCATTGTGATTTGAAGTTTTGATGAAACCTTTCTTATGGATAAAATCATTATCTTTGAATGATATTGATTTTTTAAGTTTTATATATACTCGCGTTCTCTAATCTTATTTACTTTTTTCATTTTGTTTTGCATCGCCGCTTACAAATCGTAGTTATTGAGAGAAACAAAAGAATTAATTAGATCCATAGAAGATTGTCTGAGATCAAGTCATATCAGGTAATTGTTTTTTTCTTTTGAAATATTTCATCGGTTAATCGCTTCGTGACTAGCCCGATTCGGGGTGGGTCTTGAATTAAAGCTTTAAACCCTTCCTAAAGATAATACTGGAGAGGATCGAATAAACAATTTCACTTAATTCTATTTGAGATTGAAATTTTTTATTGGTATATATCTAATTATATTCATACACATATAATTTTTTTTTTAAAATGCCTAATGTTGCATTGTGATTTGAAGTTTTAACCCAAGTATCTGTGAATGATATTGATTTTAAAGTTTTTATATACTCAGATTCTCTAATGTCTTTTATTTGGGGGCACGATCTTTTTAAACTGGTGTAAAAAGTTTATGATTAATTAAGGGTTCATTTTTTTTAAAGTTATTTTAGATAATTTTATCTAAAGTTATTTTAGATAATTTTATCTAATGTTCATCGAAATGATGTCGTTTTGGAATAAAAATTATGATGTATTTGTAATTTTAATTTATTTTAAAATTATAATAATCTTTATCATTTTAATTTTTTAATTTTTTAATCTAAAATGATGTTGTTTCGGTGAATATTATATAAAATTATATAAAGTAATATTAAATAATTTAATTGAAGATAAAAAGAAAGATCGGTTTGACTATAGGTTGAGCAATCTAATTAAAATTCAATTTCAAAATCAAACAGTCACTAAAGAATCTGGCCACTTGAATTAAAGCTCATATACAAATACTCTTCAATATTATTTCTTTTCATTATACTTTTTATTTTATTTTTATTTTATGAGTCTTAATGTTTAAAGCGGAAGCATGGTTTCCTTGATTTGAGTGTTGATGTAATCTTAATTATAAGAAACTACTTTCGGATATTCTGATAAGTGGCTGTGTATAATATTAATTAAACTGTCTTTGGAGAGTTTGTGGAGAAGCAAACTCCATCCCTTAATTGTAATCATAAATATTTTTTAATTTATTACGATTATGTAAATTTAAATATTTATTTATGTATTTTTATAAATATATTTACTAATAATAAAAAGTACTTTTGGTAAGCTTGTATTTTTTTTTACATAATTTATTTTATATTCATTACTACTTTTTAATTTAGCAATATATATATATATATATATATATATATAAATGATATTTTTTATAAATTATACTAAGTATAATTAATTATATACTCTTCATTGAAATATGATCAGTCATACTTAGCGTAATTTATGAATTTTTTATTTATAAATATAACCTTTATATATATATATATATATATATATATATATATATATGACATTTTCATTTGATTAATCCCTAGCCTAAGATGGTCTATATGACCTTGCATTGGTTTCACCCTCTCTTTCTCTCTCTATGCTTTTGTTTTCCTTGTGCTTCTGTTCTTCACCTTCCCACCCTTTAAACCCTTTGTTCCTGTCCAAGAGCTGGTAGAGTGTCAATTTTTGTTTTTTCTTCTTTTTTGTAGCACCCATTTGCCTCTTTTGAAGTCCAAGCTTTTCTTTCCTTTTCTACGCCCCTTTTGGACAACTCGACTTTGCTAATGTTTTTTCTGGGCTATGAATGCGTATCACAATGCTTATTAGTTCAAGTTTAGGTCTTGTGCATTGTGTATTCTTTTTTGTTTTAATCCATTTTTTTAATCCATTTTTATTTTATTTTTTATAATTGTTATCTCAATGGTCTTACATATTCCAGTCTTGTCCCTTACATATTCTTCTTCTTCTTCTTCTTCGTGGACAATGAAACCTGAAATTTCCATAATATTGAAAAGAAATAAAAGACTAAGCTAACTTGACTGGCAATCCCTGCATGTGTGAAATGCCAAAAACAAAATATTTTGAATTAGTTTGTTGTGCAAAAGGGGAGATAGATAGATAGAGAAGAGAAGAGAATTTGGGGTGTTTTGAAACTTCACATGGGTGGTTGAACAACTTTCCAATTTTGTATTAGCATCAGCAGAGGCATATGCAGGTCTGCATCAAACAGGCACTCTCTATTCTTCTATATGATTCATTTTCTTACCCTTGTTATCAATAATATTATTTCAGACATTGTAGGCATAGTAGTAGTAATGTTTGTTGTTTTAATGCTTCTTCATACACTACTTGATATATTACATCTGGCTTTACAAGGGAACTAAATGTTATTTTCGCTCCTCTTGTTTTATTTTCCTTAACTTTGAAATCAAATGGAATATTTGTGAACTTGGTAATTTTCCTTAACTTTTGAAGTCACATGGAATGTTTGTGACTTGGAGCTTGCCCTCATTTCATTATTCATGTATTATTTGGATCGGTAGATTTTCAACTTCGAAAAGAAATGGGGTTTTTGTCATGTGTTACTGTTTAAGCTGTGATGTGGAGCACTGATATTGAATGGATCTCCATATCTGAATTACTAAATTTTCAATATATGGTTTTTATGATCTCTTACATCTTTTTCAATTGTAGGCTTTTTGCTTCAGAAAAGTTCACATACTTAAAGGTTCAGATAAATGTGATATATATGCGAGACTACTTTATAAAGAATGCCAGGCTATCCTGTTGCAGCTTGTGAAACAACGTATGTTCTCTTTTAGACAAGGCGTGCAATTAACAAATGTTCTCTAGGTAGTTTCCCATGGAAGGGAAACAACTGTAGTTATTCTTTTTAGAAAAGGGGGCAACATATCCAATATTAATATATGTTTGACCCTGCAGATATTCTATAGGCACAGATCAACCAAGCCATCGAGACGCTTCTGTGCATTTATCTGCGGAAGAGGAGCTTGCTGCAGAAGAGAGTCTTTCAATTTATTGCAAGCCTGTAGAGTTCTACAACATTCTTCAGCGACGTGCTATACGAAATGTACTTCATCTGATTGGCTAAAATTATCTGCCGCCATAAATTATATTTTATGCGATTGTTTATAATCTTTCCATGGATATATTGCACAAGTCATAGGACTGATTTTATTCTTGGTAGCATTATTGTTTCCTTTGAAAATTTTCTCTTTTTCTACCTGGTTTTTTAGGAGGATTTCATATACTTTCTATTTACCTCTCTTTCCTAGTTACTTCTTCTTTATTCTTTTTTTTTTTCCCTCCTGAACTCCTGATTTCTGATCTCTGAAGATATCATCGTCCTACAAAATAATATTGCATGTTGTATTCTAATAGAATACGTGTTGGTTTTGTAGCCATCATTCCTTCAGAAATGTTTAGACTACCAGATAAAGGCTAAGAACAAGAAAAGGTAAAAGCTATCATATATAACCTTCCTTCTCCTATTTACTCCTTCTTCTTTAATAGATTTATATCAATTATATGCCATATGCACATGTAGATGCTTATGCTATGTTTAGTTTAAACAGAAATATATTTTAGGCATGTATCTGTGAAGTCTAGGAGCCATTGTGTACTGGTGACCATAGACCTGAACCTTTTATTTATTTATTAAAATAGACATACGTATTTAATATTATATATTAAGCTTTGTATGGAGAAAAAAATCAATGTGTATTTGCTATTATCATAAAATTATTGGCAACTTTGATATGGAAAAGGGGTATAGACTCAGTTGAAGGAATGTATTTAAGTTGCTAGTTTTGTACTTTGACATGTAGATTTTTGTGGTGCAAAGTCGAATTAGGATTGGATTTGGTATTTCTAATGCAGTTTCTTTGAGCCTCTGACTTTGAGACCTATTCATACTATTGCTGTGGTTTATCATGTGAGCTGTACATGTAGCATTGACTAAGTTAATGCATCCATCTCAAAATAGTGTTGCCATCAAGTGGGAAGATTCAGCTGATATTGATGTTTGACTCTCTTCAACAGCCCTTGATCTATGGGGTTTCACTAACAGATATGATGAGGGAGTGGGCAGCTTTGCTCCGTTGACTCTCTCTTTAGTTGTTTTCTGTTTTGTTCTTTTGTTTAGGAGGATTCCTTGTCCTCCTTTCTCTTTGTGATTTTTTCTCCTCATCTTGATGTTGTGGTTCTACCAGAGTACATTTGCCAAAATAGAATTCTTATGCAAGCATTGCGTCACTAACCAAGACAGAAACAGAATTATGCTACCTTCAGTATTTATACTGTGGAGCTCAGGAAGTGGACTCCGGTTTAGTTATAAGGCACAATTGGTCTTAGCCATTTCTTGTGTGAACTTTGTTGTGTTTATCCTTGGTTTGGAACTCAACCTCTAAAGTAATTCCGATTAACATCCACATTGTGTGAGCCCCTGATCACCATTCAACTACATGTCAACATCAGTACAGAATCATGTTAGTATTCAATGTATACAAAATAAGTACAAAATAAGTCATTGTTGGTTCAATACCAAATGTCTCCTGTTTTCAGGAACACCTAATGTTTAAAACATGCAAAATAGTTCTTGCAGACATACCTCATCCATCCTTGACAGGATAACTGGTAATCTTGTTTAGTATGAGATGATATTTAAAGATGAATGAGGTTTCTGTTATGTAGACCTTGTGATACCTTTTCTATTTGCCTTTATTCAGGTGGCAATATTTTTTATTTTTTCCAGATAAGGTTGAATTTGCTGTAACTTCTAGTGATTTCATATGAGTCATTGTTTTCATTCTGCTGTTGCTTTATTTTCTCTGGTTGTACTTAAGTATAAAAATAAATTTTGAGATGCTAATGAGACATCACGTTTGAATACTTAGGATAAAAATGACAGTTTCATTGTCATGGAGTGTTGATGAAACTCAGACTGTGTTTCCTCTGCATATCTGTCTGGCAAGGCTGAATCCTAATAATAAAGATGCAGAGGTAGGAATAGTGCTTCTTAAGCTGAATCAATTTATATTTCTTACGCTAACTAGTTTCTTTGTGTATAATACCTTATTTAATAATTTTTTCGGCTGCATAATACTTTTTGTTTTAACTTACCAAAAACAAAAAAGTATTCTGCTGTTTACCGAACCAGTCGGTTATTCATCTTTCATGAGTCCTCTGGAATTGATGGAAATACTCTAGTCCGAGCAAACTTTACGCTCCCTGAAGTTAAAAAGTTAGCTGTGGAGGCTAGGGCTGACTCAATTGCTATCTTGTTTTTCACCACTGGTACGCATATGGTTGTGTAATCCAATTGACATGAAAATATATATCTCTAATTTTTGCTAAATTCCTTATTATAACTATTTACTCGCAGTGGAAAACCCAAATTCATCATCTGGAGTCAATGCAAGCCTGGTGCCATTGGATTTGACTTCTTATGAATGTGAGATATGCTTTAATTTCTAACTTCTGACATGGAAAATATGGTTGCCGAATGGCTGTACTGTTACCTTGCTGTTACTTGAGCCACTTTCATATACAATTTGTATAATTTTCTTTGTAAATATAAAAGAAAAGAATTCCATTAAGTGAGTTACATATAAAGTCACAAGAAATCCTCCATAACGAACCAAAGGAATAGTAAAACATAATAGCTGCTTTTTCCCTCCCCTTCCCTTCAAGGAGGACTTTTTATCCTTTTCTTCTGTATAATCTTTCTCTAATACTGAATTCACTTTCTGTTGTATCTACCAAAAAAAGAAGAAGAGTTCCAATCTCTTTGAATATTAGAGCTTTATTGGGGTTGGGGTGATTGATGTGAAGTTATACAATTGTATACTCTTTCCACTATTATAAATAGAGTGTGGGCTAGAGGCTGTGTGTTCTTGAACCTATGACCAAATAGTCAAGAGTTTGATTTTACCATCCCATTCTTAAAATATAATCTCAGTGCAAGGTATGATGGGTGTGTATGAGATAAAAAGAATTCTTGGTTTGCACCTAACAACTTAAGCTCTTGGATGAATTGGTTCTTGACTTGGTATCAGAGTGGTACCATCCAATGTGCTTTGGTGATTTGGGATGAGCTAGGAACAGTTTTCTGACATGAGTTTAAATGCTATAATGTGGTCATTTCGCTGTAACTTTGATGGTGAGCAGTTGCTTAACACTACTGCAAGGAGTGGATATAGTTCCTTGGAGTTCAAGTGGTTCTGATGTGATGTATTGCTTTGATTAGATATTGCTGTGTTTGCCTTGTTTGTCCTCTTATTCTGATTTAGTCCAATGGTGTTATTGCTTGAAGACTTGGGCACTTGCAAGGGTGTTGAGTGTGTTTCTACTAGGCTTTAGAGACCAGCTGGGGAAGGTTGAGATTGTGTCATGTTTATCACAGTATGCTGAGGAGAAGCTGTGTACCCCATTTTTCTTAATGAAATTATAATTTCAGCTTATGGCCTGATGGGTGTGTTAGAAATGAAAATGCTCCTAACAGCTTAAGCTCTTGAGAAGTTTGATCTCTACAATATTCATTAGTATAAATCCCTAACACTGTTGCAAGCAAATGAAATGAATTGTTATCTGAATATCTTTCCCTCAAAATAATAAGAAATTTATAATGGATGATAAAATTACAGTCTATTGAAAATCATTGAGCAGGTGGTAATGTCTTTTTGCAGCAGTTCCTCTTACAGATATTTTGATGTTTTATTTTTTCTCCATTGTTTGTTTTCTTTGTTATTTTTTAAGGAATCTCTTATCCTCCTAACTCTTTGTAATCATTTCCTCTTTGTCTTGGTGAATTTCTTCTTTCATAAAAAAAATATTTTTAACTCTAGCTAGTAGCTACTCATGATGATTCTCCCCCCCCACAAAAAATTATGTTGATTTTGTTATGTAAAAGAGTGATTTGTGAACTTTCATATCATTTCTTTCTGTGCTTGACAGCAAGAGTTGGGAAGTACTGCTTATGTGGGAAAGTATCTTTGCAATCACTTTATATGGCTTGGGATAGTTCTCCAAATTTTAGGTTGGGACAGCGAGCTGAGATAATGTCTACTGTTGATTTGCTTCCATGTATTTTGAAGGTATGACGTCTATCTTTATTGTGCTAGTTAAATGACATAATTCTGTTCTGCTGGTGTTGTTTATTTTATTTTTATTTTTTCTAACATTCCATGTCAAGCTTTTTATCTATTCTTCACAATTATGATAGATGTACTACTCTACTAACTTTTTCATGTTGCAGTATGAATTTCTAAATAAGGGCGGGAGCGTCTCAGTTCAAGACCTCTGTAACTCTGAGAATGTGGTTTGTTCTAGCTTCAATATCGCTTACCCACTAAGCAAAAATTCCCGAACCTAAACAAAACAGACTTAGTTCTTTAATGGAGAACTTGTATTGACTGCTTCTTGTTTCTTTTCTGTTCTTATGGTTTCCAAAGAGTACATCCAAGCAAGTTCAAATCACAATTTCTGCCGAAGAGTTTGGGGCCAAGGACAAATCTCCCTACCATACACATGCAAGCAGTGAAGTATCGTCGTCATCATTATCTCGTATCATGCGGTAAATTTCATTTTTGTCGTAAGTGTCTGTTGGGGAGTTTTGGATATATCAGGATGCTACCATTAGTCTTATTGTTTTAGTTATGTAGCTTTAGCTTCATGAGTTATTCTTTTATACTATTTTTACATCTGTTAAATCTTGCTAAGCAAGCTCGCTCATTACTTAGGAAAGTGAGATGACAATGACTGAAAAACTTACAACTTCCTCTCTCCATCTCTCGGGTTTATCTCTTTCTATTAACAAACATAAAATCATTGGGGATTCCATGGTTGCGTTAGATACATGTTGAGGGACAAAATGAGTAGAACAACACAAGACAAGTAGCTAAATCGCATCACAACTTTTTGTTCATTGTGCTTTTTGTTAGTCGATGCACTGCACAAATGATTTAATGCTATATGTTGTTTGATATGCATAATTACTGAAGAGAACATGCCAAAACTATAATACTCCTTGTGTTGTGCACTGTTTGTTTTTTACTAAAAATATGCAATTGACAAGATTTTAATATTTTTATTTTAATATTTATCATTTAATTATTTTCTCGCTCTACTTTTGTTTATAACTTATTAATAATGTTAATATATTTTTGAATTAATATTATATTTATCATATAATTAAAAATTAGGCCCCTTCAAGCTTCTCTCAGGCATCAATGAACCATATGAAAGGTCTGTGCTTTGAGGCACCACCTCAGTATGAGAAGTGGTGTTAAAAATAGACTGATTCTCTTCTAGCTTCACCCTTAATGTGCAATAGTTTGCCAAATTGCCATTATGAGCAACCCCAACAGACCCAAACTGATATCTTGCACCCAAAGGCTGAAAATCCTTGAGCATGGTTGGCCTGTGGTTGAGTACCTAACATGGCCAACAGCCAAATTTCTGGGTAACTGGTTTTTTCCAACATTTGTCACATCAGAAATGAGCCCAACACTGGTTATTGATTGAAGGACGTTGTTATAGAAGAAGAAGAGGGTCAGTATGTGAAGAAGAAGATGAAGGGAGGAAGCATACAGTGAAATAATGAAGGCTGGTAGAATTATGGGATAAACTAGTCTTTTTCCTTTTTTGTGTTGTGCACAAAATTTTGTTTCCTGGTTTATTGAGTAACAAAAATTAAGAGCTTTGTGTTACCCCTTGATGGGCCTTAAAGTGAGAGTTAGTTAGCAAATTCTTCTAGAAGGTTCTTAGAGAATAGGATAAAAGGAGTGAGAGTGGGGGAATTTGAGGATCTCTTGGAGCCTAGGGTTTTTGGTTCTAAGGGGGAGTCAGGGTCTTTTGGTGTTTTATTCTTGTATTAATGTTTGTACGAAAGAGGCCATGCCTCCATTGTTTCAGTTAATTTAGTGTTATTTTTCTGGGTTCCATCAATTTGGTATCAGAGCATCTTCGATCCCGATAGTGCTTTTGTTGAGATATATAGTCCCACATTGGTTGTATGTGCAACTACTGTGAAATTTATAAGGTCTTGGGCACTCCCACCCTTAGAGCTAGCTTTTGGGGTGGTGTATCCCAAGGTTCTTTACATGGTATCAGAGCCTCGCCGCTTCCCACTTTCTCTTGTGACGTTTCTTAGCACAGGTAGGCTGAGCCTGTTGCATTGTCCACTCTTCAAGCCCAATGGGCTCTCGTGTGAGGGGGCGTGTTGAGATATATAGTCCCACATTGGTTGTATGTGCAATTCTAACGCAAATGATGGAAAGAACGCGAAGGGGTGCTGGGTCATGTGAGAGATGCATGGGTCATGGGGGAAACGGGGTGGGAGCAAATGGATTTATGGATCGACCCGTTTTGGGAAATAGAGATGAAAGAAATGGGCTGCCACTTAATGTAGGAAATTCACAAATTGCGCTTAACACGGTAACCCAAAGTGCCAATAGTCAAACCAGCCCAAATCTACCTTTAGTAGCTAGTGAAAGGTGAACACACCCTAATCGTGGAATTGGGGGTTAGAATGGCACAATGGGGTAGACAACCAAAGGAGGCAGCCATAAAGGAGTAGGAGCGGCGGCGCAAGGCAGGGCCACCATGACGGCGGAGCATGGCAGCAGCGATGGTCATCGAAGATCGTGTTTCCAGCAACTGACTTGGGAAGAGCTGAATGACCCGGGAAGACACAACTGGGCTTTGTCAAAGCTAATGAACAACCCCAGGGTGCTGCAGAAAGCTTGGGAAGAGAGTGATTAGTGTTGTGGGAAAAGATAGACTTGTTGAGGAAACAAATATTCAAAGTCTTCCTTACATTAGAGCCATAGTGAAAGAGTTAGGCCACATGCACCCTCCACTTCCTGTTGTCAAAAGAAAATATGTAGCAAAGTGTGAGATTGATGGGAATTTGATCCCAAAGAGAGCATTGGTACTTTTCGTTGTGTGGGCTGTGAGAAGAGACCCAGAATACTTAGAAAGTGATGTGGAAGGAGAACAAGGAGGCCCAATTGATCTTAGTGGACAGCATTTCAACTACTGCCATGTGGGTCAGGAAGAAGGATGTACCTTGATGTGAATTTGGCTTTAAGCATACATGGTCCATATGCTTCAAACAATGGGACCCCGGTGGAAGTTCTCTCACATCACTTATCCTCTCTCTTCACCTTGAGGACAAGGTGAGTTTTGGAGGGGAAGTATTGATGGGCCTTAAAGTGAGAGAGTTAGTTAGGAAATTGATGGTTCTTAGAGAATGGGATAAAAGGAGTGAGAGTGTGAAGAGTAAGGTAGACATGTTGTTGAGATATATAGTCCCACATTGGTTGTATGTGCAATCAATGTGGAGTTTATAAGGCCTTGGACACTCCCACCCTTTGAGCTAGCTTTTGGGGTGGTGTATCCCAAGGTTCTTTACATGGTATCAGAGCCTCGCGGCCCCCCACTTTCTCTTGTGGCGTTTCTTAGCACAGGTGGGCTGGGCCTGTTGCATTGTCCACTCTTCAAGCCCAATGGGCTCTTGTGTGAGGGGGCGTGTTGAGATATATAGTCCCACATTGGTTGTATGTGCAATCAATGTGGAGTTTATAAGGCATTGGACACTCCCACCCTTTGAGCTAGCTTTTGGGGTGGTGTATCCCAAGGTTCTTTACATGGTATCAGAGCCTCGCCACTCCCACTTTCTCTTGTGGCGTTTCTTAGCACATGTAGGCTGGGCCTGTTGCATTGTCCACTCTTCAAGCCCAATGGGCTCTCTTGTGAGGGGGCGTGTTGAGATATATAGTTCCACATTGGTTGTATGTGCAACTAATGTGGACCTTTATAAGGTCTTGGGCACTTCCACCCTTAGAGAATGGGCTAAAAGGAGTGAGAGTGTGAAGAGTAAGGTAGACATGTATTGAGTGAGAGTGGGGGAATTTGGGGATCTCTTGGAGCCTAGGGTAGTTGGTTTTGAGGGAGAGTTGGGGTCTTTTGGTGTTTTATTCTTGTATTAGTGTTTGTAAAAAAGAGGCTATACCTCCATTATTTCAGTAAATTCAGTGTTATTTTTCTGGGTTCCATCATCCCTTGAGTTAGTTTTTGTCCGGTGCTTCAACTATTTTATAAATCAAACAAAGCACAACTTTTTGTACTGTGCTGTCCCTTATATTTTAACAAGTCAAATGCACCATCTGAGTGTTAGTTAGTACTTTGCCTCTATGAAATTTTCTTGGGTTTTCCATAATTAAAATAGGAAGCAGTTTTTTTTGGTTTTTTTACTGCGAGGGGGTTGAGGTGGGAGAAGAGGGGGCTGGGGTTTGAAGTATGAACTTTCATGAAATATCTATTATATAAATTATGGTGTATATTTTGACTTCTTGCTGCATGTATGGTTCAGGTTGAAAGAAGGAAATGTCATGTTTAATTACAGGTATTACGTCATAACTTCTTTGATAGGATATTTTTCATGGCTTCTTTGTGGGTTGGAAATATGCAGAGGGTTTGAAGAACTCTTTTGTTTAGTTGCTTTCTACTTCTCTTTTGCTCCCTTTCCACGTGTGTTGCTCTTAGAAGAAATGCTGATCATTCTTCTTCGTTTTCCTCTTATGTTTTAATCATTTTTGTTTTATAAAAAATATCACAGGTATTACAATAATAAGTTGCAGAGAACGGAAGGTAATGTAAATATTGCTCTCTAAGACTCTTGCATTTATTTGTTTGATTTTTTCCCATTTGCTGCTGTTTAGCTTGTATTCGGCCTGTTTGGCTAAGTTTGGCTGTGTTTTCCACTGTTTGGCTGGGTTTATTTGTAACAAGATGGGAGCTTTATATCAGCTTGAGGAAAAGTGTTAATATTACATTGATATTACATCATTAGCATTAATGTTAGAAAATATAAATTAGGCTATAGATTTTTTTTTTTGTCAGCTGAGATTACTCTCTAATTGATAGTTAACTCTTCTTTTCTTTTTTAATATCAATTTTTCTGTTAATTGGCTTATATAGTAACTGAAAGCTTTGATTGCAGTTGTTGAAGATTTCTGCTGTCCATTCTGTTTGGTTAAATGTGCAAGCTATAAGGTTAACACTACTTTGACTACTAATTCAAAGCTATACATTTTTCAATGTGATAATTATAAACCTGTTTTTAATAGTTCTGACATAACCTGTTTTAGGGTCTAAGATATCACTTGTTCTCGTCACATGATCTTTTCAACTTTGAATTTTCGGTCAGTAATCTTCAGTTCTCTTGCAAGCTTTCTAATAACTAAGCTGTAGTTAGCCATGGTTTCAAGTATAAATAATTTTGCAGGCATCGGAGGATTGTCAGGTTGTAAATGTGTCTGTAAAAACTGATAACTGGAGATCTGAGGTGAGAACAGTTTGCCCACAATTTTTTTTCTGTTTAATTTTTGTAAATCTATTATTGCTTCTTAGTATCGAATTGGTTATTATTTGTTTGTTTACTGGTACCTTATTCTTGGAAATATTAATATTCTCTTTCATTTGGGACCTTGTATATATTTTTAGACTTAGATATTATGATTTGGAGCCTTGTTTCATTTCTCCTTTGTTCTGTTCATTCATGTCCATCCCTTTATTAAAGGAAATTTTTTGAGAGAGAAAAGGTAGAAAGTTAAACTAGGAGGAATATAAAACCTTTTTTATGCCATATTGTTCATGGGTTTACTTGGCATATTTCACAAATGTTTTCTTAGAAAAAACTTGTATGATGGGGTTAAAACTATTATGCATACACATGCCAAAGTCATTGGGATTTCTGTAATCCCTATAACATAGGATTACACTAGGAATCAACTTTTTGCCTTTATGTTTTTATCTTGGTTTTGGATGTGCCTATTGAGCATATCCAAGACTTAGTGCCATAATGCATGCTTTTTGCAGATGATATAGTCCTAGTGGGGGAGTTGAGAGGGGAATAAATGGTAGACCAGAGTTGTGGATAAAAGCTTTGGAAGCACATGGTTTCCGATTAAGCAGAAGTAAAGGAGTATATAGAATGTTAGAGAGAGATAAAATCATTAATGTATTTTCACCCAAGCCTTAAGGCATTAGGTGCATGGGTCCTTCCACTTATATGATGCTCACTTAGTCCATTCTTAAGGCTTGGGTGAGACTACATTAATGATTTTATATCTCTCTAACATAGAATGCAAGTTTCGTGATCAACTTGGCTGCCTTTTGATGTAGAATGATAGGCTTAGAGTTCTTCTCTATGCTAGATTACTCCTCTGATTGGATTTCAGATACACATTGAAGAGAAAGGACAAAGAAAATCTCGATATTATAATTATGAGAAAGGTCTGAATAACATAAGGCACTTAAAGAGTATTTATAACCAAAAGGTATAAAAGTCTTAGATAAATTCTATCAAATATTAATTTCCTCAAATATGAAATCCTAATTGAATCAAATTAAATAGGAAATCTTAACATGTTAATATTTTCCTAAGAACATATAACTTATTAAAGACAATATTCGTAAAAATAATGAAAGATCTCTTAAAAATAACATTATCGGTTCCTTTGCATGGTATTAGTCTTGTGGAGAACATCTGCCTAGAAACATGGAAGAAGCATGACAAAACTGTCTAAGCTTTGTTTTAGCACGAATGCATTTGGAATTTTGTGTTTGCTCCAGAGGCTTATTAATTAATTTCCTCCAGATTGTTGCAGATGGTGTTGATCCAAAAGTACAAACTTTCATCTATTGGTAAGATATTTTATTCTTACACTGTTCCGAAATTTTAAGGGGGCAAGCGTAGGAGCAGTGCTATGGTTGCTCTAAGTTTGAATTTAAGAAATAGTTTCTTCGTAATAAATTTCTCATCCCCATATATTTTCATTTAGATACATGCTATGAAGTAATATGGTCAACTAATAATATCTATATGTAGTGCCAAGCCACTTAAGCGCAGAAGTTCGGAGAATGAATCTTCTGAAAATGTGAAGGATGCCGAGTCACTGCTCTTAGAGTCTGAAATTCCTGCAGACCCACTGCTCTTAGAGACTGAAATTCCCTCAGAACCATTGCTCTTAGAATCTGAAATTCCTGCAGACCCACTGCTCTTAGAATCTGAAAATCCTGCTGGAGAAACTGAGCTTTTGGAGAAGGCTGATGGTATGTAACTTACTTTTGCAACTATATCAAGCATTTTAGCTGATGATACATGTTCTTAAAAACTTATAAATAATGCTACACAGCCAGCAAAATTTGATAGAATACAGTCAGAATTTGACATGATTCAATGGTGGTTGTTGGATATGTTGCTGGAATATCTAGGAAATATCTCATAATATCATTATTGTATTTTAGATAATTTCTTAGGATTGGTTTTCATATTTTCATATATTTCATGATTTTTTCCCTTATTTTATTAGAATCAAGAGTATAGTATTAGAATAAAAAGGGGTTAGTGTTTGTCTTTTTTAGCACATTGTATGCACCGATATTACTATAATTTTATGCAGAGTATTTTTTTCCTATCCGTTCCTCTTTACCTACCTAAAACCCTATAATTTCAACATGGTACCAGAGCCATGATGTCCACCTTGAGCATGGAACTTGATTATTACCAAATCCATATTTTTTTTTTGTTTGCTCTTGAACTCTCTTGTATTGAGTTTTTAGTCTCAAGCTCTTGTTCTGGTATGCGTCCTTGTTCTCGTTTCAACTTCTTCATGCAATTTGGCTTTGTTTCAACCTGTCTTTCCACATATGAGCTCCATTCCAGCTTGTATTTCCGCGAATTGGCTCTTTTCTAGTCTATATTCCTGTAGATTGGCTTTGTTCTAGCATGCCCTTCTGCAGCTTGTCTTTCCATAGATTGGTCCTCGTCTTTAGTCCCATAGGCAGTCTGACCTCCATCTCCAGCCCTAAATGTCGTTTGGCCCCGTCTCCAACCTACATGCAGTCTAGCCTCGTCTCCTGCCACTAGGTTATATTTTTTGGTTCATTTTCTTTCGGTTTGTTTAATTGTAACAAGCTAGTAAGCTTTAGCTTCACCCCCTCCCCCCAAGGCTCCCCAACTTGCGAGGGTAAAGGCGAGGGTCATTTGTACGCAACCTTACCCTTGTAGTTTTTCAAAGAAACTATTTACCAACCTTCCAGTCACAAGGAGTAATCTTATCACTCCTCCAAGGCTTGCCCTCAGGGGTAAGTAATAGAATATATCAGAAATATATCATAATATCATAATTGTATCTTAGAATTTCTTAAAGTATGTTTGATAATCTTAGGATTGGTTTCCATATTTCCTTATGTTCCAATATTTGTTTCCTTATTTAGTCAGGATCAAGGGTCTAATATTAGTATAAATAAGGGTTGTTTGAATATTAAAATGTTAAAATATTTTGTTATTGTTTTATTTGTCCTTTGTCATGTAAATAAGGCCTAACCCATGTACTCTCTAATTACAAATACAAGCTTTGTCTGATCACACTAGACACACAATTCATCAATCTTAAGTTGCTATCGGAGCTTACATTACCAAAGCTTACATTCTGGGAAACTCTACTTCCGTGAAACCCTATCTGTGTTTCCTCAAAAACATTAGGCACACTTCCTCGTGGTCATCTCCTTGTCGTGCTTCTTATCGGGAAGCAATCCTCTTCGTGCGTCCTACTGGCAGCCTCCTTAGCCATTAGCCACTGCCCGATTTACGTCTGATCATCTCCAGCAATCAACCGTTGTCATATTGTCGTTTGACTGATGCGGCTGACGATTTTTCCGGCATCGAAACCACCTCCTCAGGGTGGTTCGTTATGTACTGTCGGTGCCCCCATTAGAGCTCTGACGTGCCCACACACGCTTGCCAACCGCCGCTGCCCAACTTTCTTCCACACATGCATGTGGATGTGCCGCCCTCGGACGTCTGATCACTAAACAGGTCATTGTGATCTATACTGTCTAGATTTGCCCTTTTTCGGTAGTAGGTCCTCGGTTTGCGTGACTTCTTGCCTCTCTCGTGTTTTACGTGTTTTTGCAGGTTTTTGGACCTCATATCTTCAGATCCATTAGACACCATAGTGGAAGACTCAAGTTCTAGTGTTTTTGGGTTTTTTTCTCTTGCCTATGCAGCCAAAGGCACTTGCGGCGTTACATCTGCTACTGTCCCATCTATTACCTCAGGAAAATTAATTGGATCATGCAAAGAACCAATTCAACCCAAAAGCTTAAGTTGTTAGATAGGCAGTAGGCTACATTAATGGTTTTATATTTTTCTAAAACACCCTTTCACATGAAAGCCCACTGGACTTGAAGGGTGAATAATGCATAGGCTCACCTATCCTTGCTAAGAAACTCTACAATACTTATTATTTGAATGAAAGCTGTTAGGATCGAACTTTTGACCACTTGGTCACAGAGGCTCTAATACCGTGTAAAGAACCAATTCAACCAAAAAGCTTAAGCTATTAGGTGAGGCTACATTAATGGTTTTATATTTTCCCAACACATCTATTACTCATAAGACTTGGTCTTCCTATGTTGAAATCTGGTTTACAGCTCAAGGATATTTAGACCATCTCACCACAAAATCTGATGATTTTCCTAAGGATCAACAGTCTGAATGGAAGAAGATTGATACTCAGCTTCTAAGTATTCTTTGGCATTCCATTGATATAGAAATCATCGACCCCTTCAGGACTTGCTATGATGTGTGGGAGGAAGCCAAAAGTTTGTGTACAAATGATGTCCAGCAGCTCTACTCGATTGTCTGTCATATAATGGAGTTGCACAAATCATCAAATACTTGGATTGAAACTCACTTTGGTAAAGTTCGTTTTTGATGCAGGAGTTCTCAGTTATGCTATCCTATACGAAAAATTCATTTAAATACAAATAGTAGCATGAGCGCTTCTTTATGGTCATAGCTTTTTCTAGTCTCTCAGGGGAGTTAGATGGCATTCACCAACAGATTTTAACCAATGCTGAAACTCTCACCTTATCACAAACATTCCAACATCTATTGAACCATAAGGGTAAGGATATGTCCGAACCTGCCGTCACTTCTTTGACTATGCACTTCTTAGATTCCACTGTTCTCGTCGCTCATACTCATAACTTCAGTGAGAACAATGGATGCAGTCACGGTCGTGGATAGAGGCCTCATTTGCAACTATTGTCTAAACTTCGGCCATGTTGAGGAGCGTTGCTATTGTTAATTTCCTCATCTCAAGCCACCCACTGCCAACTTTGCTTAGACCAACACTACACCACCCTCTGCTAAATTAGTGATTATCTTTAGCGCAGATTTTTAGGCTATCTTTCAATTCAATGCTGCTTCCTAATCTTCAGTTCCAAAAACTAGTAATCTTGTTTCTTGTTTTTCTCAATCGCCCATTGGGCCTTGAATAATTTCCTCGTGATCATCTCTATAGTAATAAAGACCTTTTTACCTCTCACCCATTCTGATGATTTCTTGCTAATGGAAATAAGGCCATTGTCCGTGGTATTGGACAAGTCCGTCCATATCCTTATCTAACGTTGACATCTGTTCTTTATGTTCTTGGTTGTCCTTTTAATTTAATATTCGTTAGCCAATTAGCTCTTCTCTTTCATGCTCCATCAATTTTTCTAAAATTTCTATTTCTGTGCAGGATCTGGGTACGGGGAGGACGATTGACGTGGGTCGTGAGTCATGAGATCTCTACCATCTCGTTGTACCTAGTTCCCCGGTGGCATGTCCTATCACGGAGTCTCCAGAGCTAATTCACAGTCGTCTTGGTCATCCAAGCCTCTCCAAACTTCAGCGGATGATTCCTTTTTTATTTGATCTCCGGTCTTTAGATTTTTAGTTTTGTTAGCAGGAAAACACAGTCGCTTTTCTTTTGTGAATAGAGTCAATAAACGAGCTGATGTTTCTTTTTCTATTCATTCTGATATTTAGGGTCCGAGTCGAACTATGCCTGTTTTGGGTTTTTAGTATTTTGTTACTTGTATTGATGACTTTTTTCGTTGTACTTGAGTTTAGTTAATGAAAAATTGTTCAGAGTTATTTTCTATTTATAAAATTTTTTATGATGAAATTCATACTCAATTTGGCTCTTCTATTTGGATTTGGCATAGTGACAATGGCAAAGAATATTTATCCTTTGAAATGTCATATTTTTTGGCCCGCACGGCACCTTGCATTAAACTACCTCTTCTAATTCTCCACAACAAAATGGCGTGGTCAAATGAAAAAACAGACACATGGATAAAGTGCGCACCCTTTTTCTGCATATTAATGTTCCGCTTTGTTTTTGGGAAGATGTTGTTTTTACATCCCGTTTTCTCATTAATCGCATGACCCCTTTCGTGCTTAACAATGAAGTTCCTCACATTATTCTATTTCGTGACAGGAGTTAGTGTTTGTTTGTTGTAACTGTAAGTTGTAACACATCCTTGACACCAATATTGATATAATTTTATTCTGAGTATCTCTCCTATCCATTCCTCCTTTCCTTCCTAAAACCTTATAATTTCAACAATTTCAAAGTGGAGGGGCCTCTTATCTGTCTAAGAATTAATATGGATGCCTACTCATTATGGCTGAAAAGCTTTGGCTATATAATATTTTTCAAAACTTATAGAAGAGGCTAATATATAGTTATCTGCAAATTACTTCTCTGCATGGCAGCGGAAAGCTAAGGATTTAACACATGAAAATTAGGGCCTTCTTCGAGAAATTAAAGGAAGAAAACTCTAAATTAGGGGAATTTAAGGCTCACACAAGATATGTGAGGAAACTGCTAGTTTAGGGTTTTATAGAACTATAGTTTTCAAACATGGTATTATAGCTGTCAAATTCACCATGAAAACCTAGGCCTGCCTTCGTGGCAGTGCTTCATTTTCATCAGGAAAAGAAAATTAAAATAAAATACGACCACAGAGGAGGTCAATCTCCTTATTGCATAGCTGTGATTAGATACCCGATCTGGTCCAGAGGAGTGTGGTGTCAATTGTCAACTCAGGTGATATAATTTCCATGCAATCTGTTGCAGTATTGTGTTACGGAAAATATCTAGCAAACCACCAGTGCCAGTGACCATGATCTTAAGAGTTGACTGATTCTGATCAGTCAGTAGCTTGGATTGAAGATCATACTGGTCTGCTCAGAGGTTGTGCACAGCCACCCAGAACTAGTCAGAATGATAGAATCGACTGACGTTACAATCTAGTTTCAAGTGAGGAATAACCGTTAATGATATCTGAACAATTCTGAGATCAAGCAGGCATAACCATATGCAATGTTGCAATGTCCTTGTTGATGCTCCAAATGGGTAACTTCATTTCATCTTCTTAAGTAGGGCCCTTATCTTGGGTAATAGGTCAGTAGGTCGCCAATCAAAGCATCCAATGAAGGGCCTCAAATGATTCTCTCCTCTGTGCTGGGATTCTTGAAAAATCCAGTGATCACATTTGCAGTAAGCCATTAACTCATGTCATAGTTTAGTTGGTCCTGACTCAAAGTTGGAAATATTTTTCCCCCTCAATAAGGTTTGTTAATTCCTTTTTCTCATGTGGTCTTATTGTTAATATATTTGTTGAGCATGACCTCTTGTTTCCGAATACTCATTCTGGTAAAGATGGAAATAGTAATGTCAGATGGTATTGTTGTAGAGTACTACCATTAATGCTGCAGTGTAAGGAGTGTCACATACAGCTATGACATTGCAGGGGTTTCAAATGCTATTATTCAATCAAATCCTGATCCAGATTGTGTCCCACCAATATCTGAGCATGATCATGGCACTTCTGCAGTGCGACGGGTTGCCAAGAGAGGGAAGTTACAAGTGGAGCATTCTGACTCACGAAAGTATGTCCTTCTGGATCATTTCTCTATCCCTGGAAAACAAAAAGGGGTTCTTACATTTTGGGAACTTTTTAGATGCATAATTACTATGGGGAACGATTTGGTCCCTCATTCAATTACGATGCTAAAATGTTACTGAAATATATGTCTCCCAAGCAAAATAATTTCATCGAGCAAATCATGATTATATTTTTGACATAATAACTGACAGAACAGTATTATATAAAGCTGTTCACCTGATAGATGAATGATATGCCTTAATTGTTAAATGAAGATATCTTGTTCAATTTGAGCAGTAGCTTAATCTATTATATGATATAATAATATATAAAACTGATGGGTTGTAGCAACTTGTCAAAATATTACATTTGGGATCTTATTGTATATGGCTGACAGTGTTGATTTGTTTATTCCGGTTTTTTTTAACTTTTATATTTGTGTATGTTAAGTAGCAAGGTCTGTTAACTACGCATGAGCTTGATTTTCCACTTATTACTAGATTTGCTGTATTTGTAGGTCAAATGTATTTGATGTCATTACAAATATATAACAAGTTAATAGGGTATACAATTTTTTTTACATGTGATACCTAGACGAGTGGGATTTCATTGGAGTTTATAGGCAGTGTTGAAATAAATTGTCATATAGCATTTTCTACTTGTGATTATAACTCTTGCTATAAAAGTATAAATAACTTCATGGACACTGCTTTGACATGGTTCTTTTCAAAACATTTCAGCACTGACCTGTTGAGAAAGCGACAGTTTTATCACTCTCGCAAAGTCCAGGTGATGAGTGACTACCATTTATTTTTTTATTTTGTACTTTTATATTCTTTGCATATCAGTAGAAATTGTCTTGAAGAAGCCATGAAGTGAGCACCATGGAGAGGCCTAAACTCAATCCTTCCCCTAAAAAATGTGTGGAAATCATTTGATTCAGTTAACATTGGTTGGGCAGATGTAATTTCAGAATGCATTCTTTAAAATCAGATTGTAGCTTTTAATTTTTGTTGAGATATATAAAACCATTAAAAAAGCCTTCACTCAATAGCTTAAGCTTTTGAGTTGAATTGGTTCTTTACATGGTATCAGAGCCTCGGTGTACCGGGTTCGATCCTCACCGCCCCCCACTTTATTTCTAGTGGAATTTCTTTCTTCGCACAGGTAAGTGGGCCTGTGCATTGTCCACCCTTCAAGCCCAGTGGGCTCTCGTGTGAGGGGGCGTGTTGAGATATATAAAACCATTAAAAAAGCCTTCACTCACTAGCTTAAGCTTTTGGGTTGAATTGGTTCTTTACAATTTTCTAAAACAATTTTTTTTCTTGATATCTGTTTTTATCTGTTTAATAAATTACCATTTCTTGACTGAAGAAGCTTAAATTTCAGTGGGGTTTGTATGCGTGTAATATAGAAAACTATCACGAACTGGGTACATATTTTTAGGGTTATAAGTTTCTCCTGTTACAAGGGAAACTTATAACCCTCCAGCTGAAACAAAAAATTGTGGGACCCACCAAATTTTTATTTTTTATTTTAAAAAAAAGGATGATGTGACAGATATTTGTATCTGCAAAGGGGATGAATTTCTCCTGCAACAGGAGAAACTCATTTCCCTAATTTTTATGTGATGATTGTAATTTTTGCTCTGATCTTGGTACAATATCACAAAGACGCATATTGGTGGTCAACCTATGGACTCTATTGGTATCATTTGTATTGGTGGTTGCAGAAAAATTGCTTTGTGCATTAAGTTTACTACTCAGCTTTTTATTTAAATTAATTTATAGTTGTGATGAGCTGTGGTTGCCTGAAGACTGAACAACATTCTTTTCTGTTTAATATTATAAAAAATAAAAAATAAAATTCCAGTTTTTTTTTTTTATTCAAAATGTTTGAGATGCCTTTGCTATCTTATGTCAGATTAGATTTTTTACTCATTTTTCTCTGCCTTTTGCTTAAAGCCAATTGCACTTCAAGACGTTCTATCTGGTGAAGACAGTGAGAATGAAATTGATGAAGAAGTTGCAGGCATTGAAGAACGAAGGGTATATACAATTATATAAGTGATCTTTTGTTTTGATTCTCTACAGTTTCTTTTTTTTCAATTGTAACTCATGTTGAACTGGTAGAGCTTTATAATAATTACTGGATGGCAGGAGCTTAAAAGTGATATATAGGTAACCTAACCTTTCTGAAGGCTTATCTATGACTGTGAGGCTCAACAATTGGGACAATTTTTTTAACCAAATTTTGTTATAAACTGTTGAAATACAAGATAGTTTTAAGGAGAGACTTGAATATAAAATAATAGAAGAATAATATGTTGTGTGTCAGAGAGTTACAATATATAGAGACCTTAATGGGCTTAAGTGAAAGGCCCAAACTTAATCTTAATACAGTCAGAATATTTACGGATAAGACAGAATCCAATCATATCTAATCATATCATATCTAATATTCTAACACTCCCCCTCAAGCTGGTGCGTATATATTATGAGCACCAAGCTTGTTACAAATGTATTCAACCTGAGGACCTCTAAGAGCTTTAGTGAAAACATCTGCTAGTTGATCAGAGGAGTTGACGAAAGCAGTCTTGATTTCTCCTGACTGAATCTTTTCTCGAATGAAGTGACAATCAATCTCTATATGTTTGGTCCTCTCATGAAAGACAGGATTAGAGGATATATGTAGCGCAGCTTGATTATCACAGATGAGTGTCATGGGTTGTTTCTGTTCACAAAGATGAAGCTCCTGAATCAACTGCTTTAACCAGACTAACTCACAGGTAGCATTTGCCATTGCACGATACTCAGCTTCTGCACTAGATCGAGCAACAACAGGTTGTTTCTTGCTCTTCCACGAAATTAAGTTTCCTCCAAAGAAGACACAATAGCCAGAAGTAGAGCGCCTGTCCGAGGGTGATCCTGCCCAATCAGCATCTGAATAACCACAAATTTCTGTATTTCCCTGATCTGAATACAACAAACCTTTTCCTGGTGCTCCTTTGATGTATCGGAGGATCCTCACAGCAGCATCCCAATGTGAATCACAAGGGGAATCAAGAAACTGACTAGCCGTACTAACAGCGAAAGAAATATCTGGCCTAGTCACAGTAAGATAGTTGAGCTTCCCAATTAGCCTCCGATAACGTCCAGGATCAGATAACGGCTCCCCCTGTCCGGGCAATAACTTGACATTAGGATCCGTAGGTGTATCAACTGGTTTACTCCCCAACATACCAGTTTCTTCTAGGATATCCAGGGCATATTTCCTTTGACAGATAGAAATGCCCTGTCTGGATTGCGCCACCTCAATTCCCAAGAAGTAACGCAGCTTCCCAAGGTCCTTTGTTTGAAATGTACTAAACAAATGCTGTTTTAACTGACGAATTCCGTCTTAATCACTTCCGGTGAGAATGATGTCGTCAACATAGACTAACAAATAAATACACTTATCAGGAGATGTAATCCTATAAAACACAGAATGGTCAACTTTACTGCGGATTAAGCCAAACGCCTGAACAACAGAACTGAAGCGACTGAACCATGCTCGAGGAGACTGCTTGAGACCATATAAGGATTTCCGAAGACGACACACCTTTCCAGACTCCCCCTGAGCAACAAAACCAGGTGGTTGCTCCATGTAAACTTCTTCTTGTAAATCACCATGAAGAAAGGCATTTTTGATGTCAAGTTGAAGGAGTGGCCAGTGACGAACAGCAGCAAGGGCAAGAAAGAGGCGGACTGACGCCATATTAGCGACCAGAGAAAATGTATCGCTATAATCAAGGCCAAAGATTTGAGTAAAACCCTTGGCAACTAAACGTGCCTTGAGACGATCAATATGGCCACCAGGTCCAACTTTCACAGTAAAAACCCAGCGACAACCAACTATAGACTTCTCTGGATGAGCAGAAACAAGGTCCCAAGTGCCATTGGAATGAAGTGCAGTCATCTCATCAAGCATTGCTTGGCGCCACCCTGGATGGGAAAGTGCTTCACCTGTGGTCTTAGGAATAGAAATAGAAGAAAGACTAGAAACAAAGGTGAAATGAAGAAAGACGGTCATAACTCAAAAAGGTATAAAGAGGATAAGGGTTACGAGTAGTACGTGTACCTTTTCTTTGAGCAATGGGAAGAGTCTCTGATGAAGGATCCGGAGGGGAAGAAGCAACAGCAGTGGGCGATGAGTCAGCAAGAGTCGAGTCGACAGGAGGCACAGTTTTGCGACGCTGATAGGTGAGAAGTGGACGGTCCTCAGGTATAGAAGCAATAGGTTGCTCATCTGGAATAGAAGCACCTGCAGCTGGCAAAGACAAGTCAAGAAAATGGACAAGAAGTACATGATCAACCTGTGACATCTGAGATGGGATAGAATTAAAGGGTTGTTGATCAAGAAAAGTGACATCAGCGGAAACTAAGTAACGCTTAAGGTCGGGAGAATAACAACGATAACCCTTTTGAAGACGAGAATAACCAAGAAAGATACACTGAAAGGCTTTGGATGTTAACTTATCCTTACCAGGAGTGAGATCATGAACAAAACAAGTACAACCAAAGACATGTGGAGTTAGAGGATAAAGAGGAACATCTGGAAGCAATAGATTATGAGGAATGTCATTGTGGAGCACAGATGAAGGCATGCGATTGATGAGAAAACAAGAGATGAGTTCAACATCTGCCCAGAAGTGAAGGGGAACCTGCATATGAATAAGAAGGGTACGCGCAGTTTCAATGAGATGTCTGTTTTTACGTTCAGCCACCCCATTTTGTTGTGGAGTGTGAGGACAAGTAGTTTGATGTAAAGTACCTTGTGTGGCCAAGAAATTAGAAAAATCAATAGAAACATATTCCTTAGCATTATCACTACGTAGAATACGAATAGAAACACCAAATTGAGTATGGATCTCAGTAGAAAACTTTTTATAAATGGAAAATAGCTCGGAACGATTTTTCATTAAATAGGTCCAAGTGCAACGGGAAAAATCATCAATAAAGGTAACGAAATACCGAAAACCTAAGACAGACAAGGTACGACTTGGACCCCAGATATCTGAATGAACAAGAGAGAAAGGGGCATCAGCTCGTTTATTGACTCGACTGACAAAAGAGGAGCGTGTATGCTTCCCTTGTTGACATGACACACAATCTAAAGACTGAAGACCGGACAAAAGAGGAACCATTTTCTGCAACTTTGAAAGACTTGGATGACCAAGGCGACTGTGGATAAGTTGTGGAGATTCTGTGAGAGAGCATGCTACTGAAGGACGAGGCACATCCAGATAATAAAGCCCCCGTGACTCACGACCCACTCCAATCATTTTCCCCGTACCCGGATCCTGCACAGAAACAGAATGGTTAGAGAAAGTAATGGTGCAAGTGAGGGAGTGGATCAACTTACTAATAGAAATTAAGTTATAAGGGATGCCAGGAATGTAATAGACAGATGTCAGGGCCAAGGTAGAGGTCGGACGAGCTTGTCCAATCCCACGAACTGGGGCTTTGGTTCCATCCGCAAGGGTAAAAGACGGTAAATGATCAGAATAAGTAAGAGATGTAAAGAGCTCCTTATTAGCACAGAGATGATCGGTAGCACCGTAGTCAAATATCCAAGTGCCAAGTGATGTAGAATGAGAAACACAAGCAACAGGATTACCAGTATAAGACTGAGACTGAGGAGAAGCCTTCCTGAGAGGGGTTTGGAGTGCAGCATAGTCCGAACCTGAACCAAATGATGCATTGTCTGACTGAGCTATATTTGCAACAATAGAAGGAGAGTTAACCTCCGAGAGATCAGGCGATGCTGCTGCCATTTAAAGATAAAATATAAAAGCCGTAAACGAAGGCAAACGATATCCAATCAAGAAGAATCACGCGTCTAAGGTCAGACCCACAGAGAAACAATCACAGATCCAGAAAGGGGAGGAGAAGGCGAGCTTCTCTGTCCAAGACCGGCCGGAAAAAGCCGCCGGAATAGTGCTCACGCGCCGGCAGAAGGTGGCGCGTGAAGCCCACGCGCAGAGAAGACAGGTGGCGCGTGACGGCGCGTGGGAGATGCGTTGCTGACCGGACCACCACAGACCTGGTCGCCGGGAAGAGAGGTTCCTGATCGCGTGAAGTTTGGTCGGAAAAGTTGCCGGAAAAAGTCTCTGGTTGCCTGAACAGTGATTCTGACGGCGGGCGGTGGTTCCGGTGGCCGTCGGACGCTTTTGGAAAAATCACTCAGAGGCTGTTTACAGCCCTAGAAGGCTTGCCGGAAGGACGCACGGCAAGAAAGAGGACTCCTAAGCAGTGGGCTTAGGTTTTAAAGCAAAAAACAAGGTTTCTAAGCGGAAGCGAGGGTTCCCAGAACGAAAGAGCTCTGATACCAACTTGAATATAAAATAATAGAAGAATAATATGTTGTGTATTGATATGTGTCAGAGAGTTACAATATATAGAGACCCTAATGGGCTTAAGTGAAAGGCCCAAACCTAATCCTAATACAGTCAGAATATTTACGGATAAGACAGAATCCAATCATATCTAATCATATCATATCTAATATTCTAACAGAGAGAAAGAAAGAAAATTGAAGAGATGTGAGACAAAATACTTTTGCTAGTTATTTAGATTAGAATGGTTTAAATACATAAGCTGACCCTATACCTTTATTTATACTAATACTATGATTACACAAAAACCGTTTACTTAGGTTGCACTACAAGTAACTAATTACTTAACCCATAAGATTCCCCTAATTACTTAATATTATGTTGTATTCCTTAACACTCCCCCTCAATTAAGCTTTCAGTTTGCCAGAAAAAGGGAACCCAAATTAAAATCAAACTACATAATAGCTCAATCCATTAGCCAAAGATCATATGCAAATAACACCCCCCCCCCCTAATTAACAGCACCCTTGGTGACGTCCTTGATAAATAGCTCTTCAATCCATTTCTCCTTGCTCTTTAACACCCAAACAACTCCTTGTAGCTGCTACTACACACAAAACTCCTGGTTGTGCCCATTGCAGTAAAATTCCAATAACTATCACAAATCACAATCACCTTAACTGGGATTTAGATCCTCTCATGTGAAAAAGTAGTCATGTGGTCATGTTATTTGATGACAACCACTCATTTCCACTTATTAATGATTAGATAAGATAGAGAAAAATATATGATTTTTAAATGAGTGGTTGTGATCAAATAACATGATCATATGATCATTTTTTCACATGAGAGGATTCAAATCCTCTTAACTGAGGCTCAATGTTATCAGCTCCATGCCTAAAAAATACACAAACTTAAAAATAAGAGCACATTACCATCACTAACAGTAGAATTGGGCACATGACTTGCCTTCCCAAGTCAGAACATGCAACATTCTTGCCCAGAACTAAGCTTGTGCCTTGCAGGTTTTTTAAAACAGATTATACAAAGAAATTCATCTGAGTCTCACCTTGTACTTTGGCGCACTGCACTACACGTAACTAATTACGTAACCAATGAGTCTTTTTATTACTTATGTTATTTTCCTTAACAGAAGAAAGATGAATTTTACATCATGTGCGCTACAATTGGTGGTTTGACCAAGTTTTAGACCTAATTTTGAAAGCTTACCATTTTTTTATTCCAACTGGAAAATTAAAGTTCTCCTTGATCAACATCAACATCAACATCAACAACACCTTTATCCCAAATTAATTGGGGTCGGTGGTAGATGAACCCACATGAAAGATACAAAACGGTTGAAAAAAAGTAAAAAAAATAAAAAATAAAAAATAAAAAATAAATAAATAAATAAATAAAAATACACAAATAAAATAATAAAATAAAATAAAATGAAATAAAAATATATGTATATATAAATAAATAAAAGTAAAAAAGAAAGGGACAAGAAGAAGTGGGGGAAATGAAGGGGAAAAGGACTAAAAAAGGACCATCTGGAACATAGGAATAACAGCGAGTTTAACCCTCCACCATACTTATAGCTTTTCACCACAAGTTTTGGTTGAGGCTGGGGTTGGGATTGTGAAATCTGTTGCACTTTTTACTATTATTCACACTTTTATTATGTTTTGAGGAAGCATTGACATACACTGATTCTTTGCAGATGCTTGGTAATTTTATTGATTTGAACGACGATGAGAAGCGACTCATGCATATATGGAACTCATTTACTCGGAGGCAAGGGTAAGTTCTTTTCACTTTGGCTCAGGTCATTCACTACTTGTTGCATCTTCTTTGTTTTGTTTATTACCATCATTAACAAGTAAGGATATAAATATTTTATGCTGAATGCACCTTTGAGCTTTAGAAAGATGATATGCTTTTCCATTCGGATTACTACTTTCTGGTTTTCAATTATTTTCTTTTTGTGGCAGCGTGCTGGCAGATGGTCACGTTCCTTGGGCATACGAGGCTTTCACAAAATTGCATATCGTTGAGCTTGTCAAATCCACCAGTTTTGCTTGGTAACTAGCATCTCTCTTGTGTTTGTGTTCCCATTTTAGAAATTTATACCTAACTTTGTTGTTTCTTTCTCATCCTGTATTGGCCTTTTTTATTTATCAATATTTTTACCTTAGTTGAATGAACATAATCATGACAACATGTACCGTCTTCAAAAACAATTTTTTTCAAGATTGTTTGGTTGTCAAAATGCACTATTTTATGCTATTTTAGCATTCTGTGGCTTTTCTTACTCCAAATGTCATGCATCATACTCTCTCTTCTTCTTTTTTATGTATAAAGATCTGCAAATAATTATAGAAGTCTTTTTGGCAGGCATTGGAGACTGTTTATGATCAAACTATATAATCATGGTCTTCTAGATGCGCGAACCATGAATGAATGTAGTATAATTTATCAAGATCACTACAATGCTGCAAAATCAGATCGCAATAGGCAGAATTCAGATCCCAATAGGCAGAATCCAGATCCCAATAGGCAGAATCCAGATCCTAATAGGCAGAATCCAGATCCTAATATGCAGAATCCAGATCCCAATAGGCAGAATTCAGATCCTAATAGGCAGAATCCAGATCCCAATAGGCAGGATCCAGATTCCAATATGCAGAATTCAGATCCCAATATGCAGAATCCAGATTCCAATATGCAGAATTCAGATCCCAATAGCTAAAGGAAATTCAGTTTTTTTATCCCATATAAATAGAAGAAACAGATTACATTGAAAGGGACTTCTTTACTAGGTGCAAATTGCTATCACCGTTTTGTGGAAGCTTCTTTCTTTCAATTTATAACCTTGTACTGTTATTATCTTGAGAGTGTTGTACCATAAATTTGCCAAGGGATAAAAGTTTCATCCCTTTGTCTCTTTTTCTGCGGCAATGAGCTTAAGAAGTTTTTAGCAACCTGAGTATTATGTGCTTGATCCATTTCTGTTAGTGTTTGAAATTCTGTATGGGAACTGGATCCAAAAGGAACATTGTGTACAATTTGGAAAAATGGTAGACAATTAAAACTCAGTTGTATGCATAGCTTGGGTCTTACTTTCTTTAAATATGTTATATTTTTTTACTTAATATACTTTTTGACAACAATTGGGGTACATTTTCAACGAATTTTTTTAATGAATTCTTCCACGTACATGTTTACAATGTTTATGTCTAGTCCCTTAGTGGCATACCATAAGAGACCAATTTGATTCTCGATGAGACACTTGCATCCCTTTTCCCTATCTACTTGATACCAGAGAAAAAGAAAGAAAAAAGCAATTAGTCCTATTGTAAATGGGTTGTGACTAATCTTTTATTAAAGAGTGAGGTGTCACCTCACCTGTATAAATTATCAATTTTAATAACATGGGTGAAACTTAAAAATAATAATTTGAGCAGGGTATAGTTTTTTCGACCAACCCTATAACTTCAATTTAACATATGGTATTCATCACTCCTTTGTTTACTCGAAAGTTTCTAAATATTTTTATGGTCAAATCAAATTAGGGGTAGGATATTGTAACAACTAAATAGGATTACTATCAATGTTACTACTAATCAATTTCACCGTTAGATCGATTATGTTGATCCAACGGTTATATTTGTTTTCATCTTTGTATGATTATGATATCCCATATTTAATGCTTTATATTTATTTTTTGTTATGATTTTTCATATTTAATATATTTAATGTTTTCACATTAAATATGGAGAATAATAACCATACAAAGATGGAAATAAATATAACCGTTGGATCAACATAATCGATCTAACAGTGAAATTGATTGGTAGTACTAGTAACATTGGTAGTAACCCTAATTGATTGTTACCCTATCAAATTATTAGTTCTTATAATTTTTACTCATTTTAATTATGGTTTTCTGTTTTCAAATCAATCCTTTGACATGCAAACTTTTCAAATATTCCCCTATATCAGCTTTTGTTATAACACTATAAAAAAGAGTAAATATTATTTTTGGTACTCAGTAGATTTCACGATGTCCGCTTTAGTCTCTAGCAAATAAAAAGGCCCATTGTGGTCCCTAAGAAATTCAAAATGGACCCATTTAGTTGAAATCGTGGTCCCTCACAAATTCAAAAAAGACCTATATTAGTCCCTAAAAAGACTAAAATGGGTATATTTTGAATTTCTTATGGACCACGATGTGCCTTTTTATTTGCTAAGAACTAAAGTGAGCATCGTGAAATTTGATGAGAAGCAAAAATAATATTTACTCGTATAAAAAATTGACATTCAATAGATGCGTTTTTTTAGTAGGTACTTTTTTGTGTGCTCTATTTTTGTGTAAAACGTTAACCAAGTGTTCCTTTCTTTCAGAATAGTTTATGTCAGAACAAAAGCTTACTGTGAGGACTATTTTGAAAACGTTTATAAATGTGAAGACTATTTCGAAAAGAAAAAAAAATTATAGGAATAAAAATAAAAATGAGTGGAAACTATAGATCAAAATTTTAATTTAACAATCTTTTATATATCATTTTACTTTTATTTATCAAACAGGATTTTAGATGGTTGATAAGGTGGGATTTATAATAATCATGGAATTTGCAAGATGTCTGTCCAATTGTCAATGGAATTTTCAGGAAGCATGGTAAACCATTCCAATGCTTGCGTTCTCATAAAAATTAAAAAAAGTTTTGCATAATAACAAATCGATCTGCCCACAAAGTGACATTGCAGCTCGGAACACAGTTATGAACTCCCTTGAATCCGAGCTTCCGTCAAATGCCTTCAGATCATTCGGTTGCCTAAACCAGGATGGAATAGGCTCCGCCCTCAGTCTCCAAGTGAGAGGAGTTCCGGATGGTCCATGCAGAGTAGGTCCTGCTTGAAACTGTGGTGGGAAAGGTGGGTGTGGGTATCGCATCCGTAGTGATAAGATTATTCGCTGGTTTATGGGGTATAGACTTCTAGGGAAAGCTCATTGTTGTCCAAGGCCTGGGTAAATTGCTTGCAACCCATGTTATGTTACTAGGATCCGATAACCTCCCTGGAATCCCTGATGGGCAGCGTGGAAATGTTGGTCCTGCGGCTGACGGGTATTATGATACCCATGTTCATGATATTGATTCTCTTGATGGCGTGCATGATGATACATGTGCCCATAGTACTGGTTCTCCTATTGGCGGGCATGATAGTGTCCTTGATCTTGGTGTCCTTCCATCCTTCTGTCATTCCTTCTATCTTCTTCATGATGGATCGTCGTCTCAGAATTCGCGCATGTTCAACTTGGTCCTCCTGGGTACGCTCTTGATTCCTCCTCTGACCATCGTGTCCTCTTCTACTTCGAGTAACTTGTCGTTCAGGCTGGCTCCTAGATTTCCATGAATGTTGTTGCCGGTTCATTATGTTCTCCTCATTGTGTGGAACACCCCAAATTTCTAATAATTTTTAAAATATACTTATAACATTATAATTGTCAAAATATACTTATAACATTATAATTGTCAAAATTCACGTATAATTATTTTATTTAAATTGTATAAATATTACAGAAGTTAATCTAAAATTAACTTGGGAAAATGTTACTGCCGCACCTGTACATGGACAAGTGCAAGACTAACTTTATTACATCAAAACTAAAGTTTAACTTGAAAGAAAACATGTCTTTTTAATAAATAAAGAAAGATGTAAAATCTAGAGCTAGCCATAAATTTTTCACTGCCCACTGTTGGTCCAATACTTTGGGAACTTGACTTACTGAAAATCTGCTCTCCCGAATGATCATTGCAGTCAAACAAACACAAATACAAACAATCAGCAAAGCTGGTAATCCTAATCAAACACAATTTACATAATAAAATAAAATGTATAATATAATAATTGAACCAAATATCAATATCAAATCAAATAATATTTATTATCTTTATTAAGTTTATTTAGTGGGAAGAGAACCATGGTAGACTCGGAGATCCTATTAGTCTACCCTGTGACCCGTATATCATGCCAGTCACATATCAACAATTTGGCCATTATCAAAAACATCTTTTCCTAGTGTGCACACCTCTTTTCAAAGTTGCTACTAGTATCCCAGATATCCTGCCAGATACCACTTTGAAAAGAACGGATAATCTTTTTTCACATCACATAATTATCGGAGGTATAAAGCCCAAAATTTTTGTGCATCACTTTAGGAGGTACCTCATCTTCCCGAAGCTATCTTCCCACTACTAATTTATTTCAAACGCATACAATCAAAAAAAATTCAATCGTAATTATTTATTCTTTAAGTATTATCATTTCTAAATGAGTTGCTCAAGGGCATTATAATTTTCCAGAGTATAATAATTCAAACATCTATCATCATAAATTTTTGAATTTATTTAAGGGATAGAATGATTCAGATATTCCACATTTATTATAGTAAAAACCCATCATAACTTTCCAAATAATTCAAATATTCGACATTTATAATAGTAAAACTCAAATCCAATCATCGTCATTCAAATAATCTCATCACATCAATTATCATAGTTATTCAACTAATTCAATCATATAAATATTCAAATTCAATCATAAAACACATATTTGGAAAGTTTTTCTTAAAGAGTATCAAAATTTCATAATTTTCATAATTATTCAATAAGATCCATATATTGCACATAAATCAATTTTTATATCATATATTGCACATAATCATAGTTTCCAAAATAATAAAGTTTTCCAAAAATATTATAATTATCACATATTGTAATTTAAAATTAAAAATTACCTATAAAAAAATATGGGTTTTATAAGAGTTATGTTGTAGGAAAAGTGATTGTGTAATATTATAGAGATTCGTTTTGCGTGCCTTAATTTTTTATTTATTTTTTTGTTTTAAAAAGTGTGAACCCCACAAAATGTTGTGAGGGTAGGAAAGTTTGTTGTGTTATGTTAAAGGATAAAACGAAAACCCAAAAAATATTCATACAGAACTAACCTAAGAACATCTAGGGATTAATGATTTGGGGAAGAGAAATGGTTGGTAACCAAAGAAAAATAATAATAAAATAAAATAAATAAAAATTTGAAGTAAGAAGAGAGAGGGTAAAGGAGAAATGTTGAGGATTGGAAATGAATTGGTTTGATTAGGCTAGGCCTCTATTTATAGTTGAAGTTCTGGGTTCAAATATGGGTTTCATGCAATTATTTTCTTATTCTTCATTGATGTACCTGGCTCAGATATTGGCTTTGTACACTATTTTCTTATCCTTCGTTAATGTACCTGGCTCAGATATTGACTTCATACACTATTTCTTTTTGTTCTTAATTTCTTATGGCTCAGAATATAGCTGACTCATGACTGACTCATTATTGACTCAATGCTGGCTTATCAGATCTAATCAAATTACTAATCAAATAATCACTTAATGCATAAATCACAATTTATCATCTAATATATGGGTTTTATATCTCTCATTCAACATGAGAATTGAATTCTCATGTTGTAGAGACAAAAAGCATGTGGGACCCGTATGTAAGAAAAAATTATGTGTAGAACCCACGTTAGCACGGAAATCGAAGGGTGTGTAGGAAAATTCAAATTCTCATGTTAAATGAGAATTATAAAACCCCTAATATATATATATATTAATAATTTATTATTAATAATTTATTGTATTATAAATTACTATTATTTTCCTAGATATTATATTGTGAGTCTTTTCTTGCCTCCGAGGTTGAGATAGGGGAATGTAGCTTGGAATAGGAGATCGCGAAGTTCGAGTTCGGTCCCCCTGTTATGGTATGCGTTGTGGTCTCTCTTCGGGTTGATGTCTCATCCTTCTCCTCAAAGTTCCATCTTTCCTCGTTTCTTTGAAGAATGCTCGTTGATCTTCAACCGGTTGGATCAATGCGCGTCCAATGGTGTTAATGGAACGACTCCTAGCATCATATTGAAAAGAATTCTCTTCAAGGAGTGGTCCATTTTCAGTTCGACAGTAATAACTGTTGTTACTAGCCATTACAAAATGTGGGAATAAAACTTTACAATTCTCACAAACGACACTATATGTTCTGAGTGAACAACAACTAGGGTAATTGGGCAAGTGTTTGGATAATGAGAAGTAATAGGGAATAATAAGGATATATGTTTGTTGGGAATTTTGGTGGGTAATATGATGTGTAAGTTTTGGTATCTATGGCCGAAAGATAAAATTGATATTTCAACTGTGTGTTTATCTCATTCATTGGTAGCCTTCAAATAGGCGAACATACAATAAATGGTTAGCACAAGATCAGCGATTTGCTAACAACTAACAACGTAACAGACTAAAACAAATAAATACTCTATATCTAAACAGTCCTACGGTTACAAAGAATTCAAACTATAAACGTTATAAAGAATTCAAACCTACGGTTACAAAGAATTCAAACAATATACGTTACTGTTACATATAATCTCCAACACTCCCCCTCAAGTTGGAGTATGTAAGGATGAAATGCCCAACTTGGGAAGAAAACTAAGAAGCTCGCGTTGTCCCAAGGCTTTAGTAAACAAATCAGCAAGTTGGGAACGAGAAGGCACATGAGCTGTTGTAATATGCTTGGCTAGAATATGTTCACGTACAAAGTGGCAATCTAACTCAATATGCTTGGTACGCTCGTGAAACACCGGATTCGCTGCAATGTGTAAAGCAGCTTGGTTATCACAAAACAATTCCATAGGACTTGAGTGAGTGACCCCAAGAGAGGTGAGAAACGACTTGAGCCACACAATCTCTGCTGCAGCTGCAGCCATTGATCTATACTCTGCTTCTACAGAAGAGCGAGACACTGTTACTTGTTTCTTGGTCTTCCAGGATACGGGTGAAGAACCCAACATAATAAAGAAACCAGTGAGAGATCGTCTGGTAAGAGGACATGAAGCCCAATCCGAATCACAATAGGCATGAATTTTTAGGTCACAATCCGATTTGAGGAGAAGTCCTTGACCAGGATCTCTCTTTACATATCGAAGAACCCGGAGAACAGCCTCATAATGAGCTAGGCGCGGTGAATGCATGAATTGAGAAAGGATATGAACAACATAGCTCAGGTCGGGTCTTGTGATAGTGAGGTAAATCAACTTACCAATGAGTCTTCTATACCGTTCAGGGTTCTCATATACTGGTCCGTCATCCAAGGCAAGACGATGATTTTGTTTTATGGGGGCCGAATGTAATGTAATCTTCATTAGTGTTGCTTGTGTATTTATAATAATTATTATGAATGTTTGAGAGAGAATCATGGGATAGAACGGTTATCAAAAGATAATCATGAAAGTTGCAGGTGGGTTATGTTGGGTAATGGTGATCGCGAGTTTGAGACCTTGATCTTGGCTTATGGGATTAAGTCTGCAATTCGAGCTCACAGTTCTAGTTCTAGTTCTAGTCGGGATGTCAAGTAGAAACCAAATAAGAAAATTATTTAGACAAGAGATTTGTACTAAGTAAAAAAGGCTTGAGTGTTAGGTCAAGAAGAAATATGGGTTTAACCCGGAACAATCCCTAATAAAATATAATTGTCAGATATACAAAAATAAATTAGAAGTAAATTTTTAATCATTAAAAAATTGAAAATAAAAAGAAACAAATCACACTGCGAATGGTGGAGCGCATGAATATAATTAATGTAAAAATAATATTAAGAAATATCGTAGTAAAAATAGTAATATTATAAATAACATTAACAATCGATCGACGCAAGACAATCTTTCTGTCAACTAATCATCCCTTAGGGACGTGACCCAACTCTCAACTCTTCACACGTCACACACTATTTCACCAAAATTTTCCACTCTGAAAAATGTCACAAATGACTTTATTTAAACTGGAAAAATCAACAAAATTCAATTTAATTGGCTTTTACTATGAAAATTCAAAACTAATAATAAATATATACACAAATTCAACAAAATTTTTCCAATTCAGTGGACCTCACCTAGTTCATAGTGCTTTGTTACACTATAAATTGAAAATCCCCGCAATCCGTTTATCTCAAACTAAAAGCAAAATGACCGATGCTACACTAACCGAGCAGTGGAGCGACTTGCCGTTTATGATCAACGACGCTGACGACATGATCGTCTTCAACTCCCTGAACGACGCCGTTTCACACGGTTGGTCTCCATCCGATTACACAACACCAAAACCGGAACCAAACGACGGTCCAAACGCCGTCGTTTTGCCGCATAAGGAGAAAAATAAGAGCTTGGGAACGCACTACAGAGGAGTGAGGCAAAGACCGTGGGGAAAGTTCGCGGCTGAGATTCGCGACCCGGCTCGGAACGGCGCGAGGGCGTGGCTCGGCACTTACGAAACGGCTGAGGAAGCCGCTTTGGCTTATGATCGAGCAGCGTTCCAGCTTCGCGGCTCTAAGGCTTTGCTGAACTTCCCGCACCGAATCGGTTCCGGAGATCCGCCTCCGGTCAGAGTCACGGCTAAGTACCGCAGTGGCGCGCCGCCAGCTACGGCTGTTAATGGCGGCTCGCGCAAGAAACTGAAAGGACCCGCCGCAAGTGAAGTGTTGCCAGCTGGCGAGTAACTATTGGTTAGTTTTTTAGGACTGAGGATAATTAATTTAAGTGTAGTGGTAAATTATGTACCAAAAAAAAATAAAATAAAAAATGTAGCGATAAATTAAGATGAGATGAGATGGATATGTTTGGAGTTGAAATAAATTACACTTTTTGAACGCTCGGTCAATTGGTACGTTTCATTTTTTTTAATATTATTTTTGGGAGAGATTTAAATTTTAAATTTGAGATATATCTCAAATTTTGAATTAATCCATGGAAAATTTATAGAAAAATTAGCATAAATAATCTAAAAAAAAAAAAAAAACTGTTTTGCTATTAGTTGATTGCAAGTTTGAGATGGAAGAAGTGGGTCCATGTTAGATTGAATGGAATGAAAGCAGCGCAATATTGGAAATTGGTACACACAAGTACAAGTCGTTCACTTTATGAGGTTGGAAAGATAAAAAGCTCATTCCCTAAGAAAATGGGCATTATAGATAATCTTTTGATACTATAAAATAATAATAATAATTTTGATTTGAATTTTTTTACGAAAAAGGATATTCTTACTACCAAATTTTTTTATTACTAACTTACTACCTATCTAATCACCATTGAATCAAAGAGAGAATGTTAAAAAGTTTTTGAAAAAAGAGAAAATGTTGATCCAATGGTTATTAGATAGATAGTGAGTTGGTAGTAGAAGATTTTGGTAGTAAGAATATCACTCCTCTTTTTTTACATTATTATTAAATTCCGTGTTGATATATTATTATAAATTTTATAGCTGTTAAATAATAATTGTAATATATTAATGTGTATTAAAAAAGAATTGAAATTAAATCCTTATAAGATTAAGAAACTCATTATAAAAGTTAAAAAAAATATTATTGCTCCTAAAAATATCATAATTTTTTAAAAGATTTAATAATTTTCTACATACTAAACATAAAAATGAAATAAAGAGATATCATCTGGTCTTGTCCACACCAAATAAAACCAGAGAATTATGAAGTTATATTATGTTCCAATTTCACTTTTATTCTCATTTCGTCAAAAACCATATTTTCTAATTAATTAAGCTTGACCTGGAAGTATTGCTGTGTGAAAGAATAATAACAAAAGAATAGTACAAGATTACCAAAAAAAATAAAAGAAGAAGAATAGTATAGGCGCTAGGCCTGGAATAAATGAGTAGCTCTATTCGTCCACATCCCGCTCTGTCCTTTTCTTTTAGTTACTTTTTGAGTTTGAGTATACGTTAATATATAGTTTTTCTTAATTATTATTTGTCTACAATTTTGAACAATGGAAGTCAGTCTATTCATAATTTCATATCTCTATTGATATTGTGTTGGATCTTAGGTAGAGCCAGCAAGTTAGGATTTATGAAAGTTGGAACTAAGGTGCAACTAATCTAAATCATATGTTAAATGCAAGGTGCCTAGTTTGCTTAGGGGCCAAAGAAAAAAAAAAAATCTTTGTTCAGGAGTGCCAGACTAATTAAAATATTTTATTTTATTTTATTTTCAAATACAAAATTTACATGGTCAAAATTAATAGAAGGGATATTTTGACTCCGCTGTAAAATTAAAAAGTCTACTCCTAATTTTAATTATTAATTTTCGCCCATCAAATAATTATAGTTTATTGAATTATATCAATTAAGTAATTATTAATTTCAAATAAACTATAATCATTAAATGGCCTAATCGACAATTGACATGAAAAGTAAAATTTATTAATCTTACAGCGGAGTCAAAAATCCTTCCACTTCGAATAAAATCTTAATTCGAAATGAAACATTAGCTTACTATACGTACCTAGGGGGGGAGAGGAAAAAAAAATTATTATCTATGATTTATCATCCTTTTTTTGGTAGGTTTGTCGATGATTTATTGATATAATTATAGTCTTTACACCGGCTTAAAAATACAAGTCTGATGTATGTAATACATAAGCAACTTGGAGTCATCTATACATGAAGTGGATATATAGTCCACCTTTGAAATTTCCAATCTTAATTTGGGATAGGTATATCTAGTATGAATAAAATCATAATTCTGACTCCCAATATATAGTAATAAAAGTTGTCTTTCCTTTGTAATTATCATATTAAATATATCTCTTGTTCCAAAATTAAGTTGCATACATGTCATAAATATTTAACTTACTAGAAAACTCAAATAATTAAGAAATATTTGTATAATATTTTTCGATTTTTTTTCTTTTATTACCTTGTAATTAAGTGTGACTGTATGACCTATACAATATGAAATCATCTTGTTCTTTTTCTGAAATCTTCTTTTTACTGAAGGAAAATATTTATTCAAAGTTTCTACATATAAAGGATTTTATTATCTGAATCAATTGGCACTTTCAACTTTTGAGAGGCTTTGGAAGCATAATATTGGAAAGCTAATTTCAATTCTCCAAATAATTTTCATTTTGAAGGTAAGTCAATTTGTGGGTGTGGATGGAATAGTAGTAAAAGTATGCTTAATTTATAACTTTATCATTTTTTTCAAAAAGAAATGATAACTTTCATACTTGATGCACTTTTTTTTTTTTTTTTTTTTTATAAACATACTTGATGCACTTAAATTATGCATCTTAATTCCAAAACCAACGTTTACACCTTAAAAAAAAATAAGGAGAATATGTTTTTCATATTATATGAAATAATTTTATTTCATGCAACACATAAAAAGTGGATGAGAGTGTGAGAACCACTAAGAAGAAGAGAGAGAAAGATAAAAAGTGAGTGAGACCCATTTTTTGAGTGTGCATGAGATAATTTTATCTCATACAACATGAGACACATATTTTCCTAAGAATAATGTTGAAATCTTTAATGGGAAACTTCAAAAATCTTCCTATGATTTTACTTTGAGTCACTTATTTCTCTATACTTTTTTTTCAATCACTTATTCCGATATAATTTTTTCGATCCAAATCTCTCCTTAACATTGTTAGAAATTTAACTAATATACCTATTTTATACTTCTTAGAAGAAAAAAAATAAAGTGATGACAAAAAATAAAAAAAATAAGATCAAATATTTTGAAAACTTATAACACTAACATAAAAGACTAAAAGTGAAAAATAAAATAAAAATAGAAGAAAAAAAAGATCAAATATGTCTAAATCATAGTTATTAAAACCGGACCGACCTGGCCGGGTCGACCCGGGAACCAGTCATATAACTGGTCCGGTTGAAGTAACGGACCGGCCATGCATCAGAACCGTGCGACCTGGTCCGACCCGACCCGGTCCAAAAAAAAAAAATTCCAAATTTTTATTTTTTCCAAAAAAATCATAATAGTCGTATTTGAATTTTTTTTTGTTTATTGACTTACATAAGTTATGTACCTACAACACTAATATTATCTCAATTATGTACTATGCATAAAAGTTTGAATTAATTTATAGTTAGAGATGTCGTTTTATGAACCTAAAGCCTTGTATCACGATCATTATATTTTTGTTTGATTTTTTATTTGATAATAATATGTAATTTATTATTTTTTGTATTAAAATATTTGAAATTTTTATTAATTTTTTTTAGATATTTGAGTATGTTTATAATTTTTTAATATAAATTATAACATTGCATATAATTACCGGGTCATGCGGTTGAACCAGAGACCCACTGGTTAAACCAGTGACCCGGTACCTCGACCGGGTCAATGATCGGGTCGGTTTTAATAACATTGGTCTAAATCAAAAAGAAGAAAATAGATTAAGAACAAAAAAATAGAAGAAAAAATAAGACCCAATATGTTTGAAACTTATAAGAGTAATGAAAAAGACTAAAAATAAAAAAAATGAAATAGCTTGAAGATAAAGGAAAAAATAGAACAAAGAAAAAAAAGACCAAATATGTTGGAAATTTACAATATTAATTTTTATTTTTATTTTTATTTCTTTTAATAGTGATAGAAAAGACTAAAAAGTAAAAAAATAAAACTAAATATACTGGAAACTTACAATAGTTATTTATTTTTTGTCATAGATTTTTCTTTAATTTCTTTCTTGTCTTCCGTCTATTTTTTTTTATTTGGACTTTTTTTTTAAAAAATTTAGTTTTTTTGTCATTGTTATAAATCTTTAACATATTTGGCCTTATTTTTTCTTTTCTTTTTTCCCTTAATCTATTTTCTTCTTTTTGATTTAGATATATTTTATTTTTTTGTTCTATTTTATTTTTTTATTTTAGTATTTTTTGTAAGTGTTGTAATTTTCCAAAATACCCGATCTTATTTTTACTTTTTTGGACATCTTTTTATTTTTTTCTTTTAAGAAAAGTTTAGGTATATTAGTTAAGTTTCTAACAGTATTAAGGAGAGATTTTGATGAAAAATATTATAAAGGAATAAATAATTATAAAAAAAATATAAGAGGTAAGTGATTCAAAACAAAATTATAGAAAAAAATTTGGAACTTTTTTCAATCTTTATTGCAGGTATAATTACAGGGAAACATCCTCATTTTGTTTTTCTAATATCATGGGGAGACAAATATCTTCATAAACAAGATAACCACAGGGAACCAATCTGTTTGCCGAATGAAAAATTATGCATAGACCAGAACATGGTAACTAGACTTGACTCCTAGGCAAATAGAAAATTATAAAGCTTTCAATGGAAATATACCCAAAAGATGTTGCTTTCAATTGTGGATGAATGAGCATGAGTACAAATAAGCCACTTAACTGCCATTTTGACGTGAATGATTTATTTCGTTGACTAGAAAATTAACTAGTATAACACTTTAGTTATAATTCCATTAATCTTAACTTCTACTTAAAAAAGAACACCAAATTTAATGCTCCTAGTTTATTGAAATTTTTCTCCCGTGAAAAAAAAGCTGCTAATTAAGTCAGCTAAAGCTACTGAGAATTACCTTGGGGGAAGATATGTCCCAACGTCATTTGCTCCACATTATATATATATATATATATATATATATATATATATATATATATATATATATATATGAAAAAATTGTTTGATGCACACAATATTAGCTAACGGAGTAGTCGCACCTTAGCTCAATAACACTTTGCATCTGAATTTTCCTTTTTATTAAGAGATGTTTGGTACAGGAGAAATTTTTTTAATCCAAAAAATGATTATTACTGGAATAT